GAGGGTCGGAGGACCGTTGGTGCACTCGAGAAAGAGAAGTGGGAGGTTTATTTTGGGACTTGAAGAAGAACATGGAAGTTAGTGTAGGAGAGATATACTGTCATTTTAGGACTCAGCGTCATATTGGGTAGGTGCCATGTTGAATCTGGCAGAGTTCTATACAAGTGGAACCCATCAAAAACGTTTGGTTAAAGTTCATGCAACAACAGCTTGCTTACTCTGAGAAACTGTACATCAGTGTTAAGTTATAAGTTGTTTCTGCAGTGAAGTCTTACCCATATTTGAATTTTATCTTCAAACATTGGCCTTTTCACTGTTTCAGACTTTTAGAATTAAAAATAAATCTGTTGGTGTCTTGGTTATTTTCTTGTTGCTGAGACATAATATCTGAAAACTGAACTTAAAGGAGGAAAGATTTATTGTTACAATTTGTAGAGGCAGGGTGGCATTCCAGAAGGGCATTCCAGAGGAGAAACAGTCCATAGCAAACCAGGGCAGACAGAAGGCCACAAAGTGATGGGTCCTTTGGGCAAGTAACACTGACAGCCAGGTGGGGCACCCTTAATCCTAGCATTACATCCTTAAATCCAGCATCATACATCTGAGATCCAACCACCTCTAGAAAGCCCCATCTATGACCACAAGAGGCTTTGGGAGGATATCTAGATACAAGCTGTAGTAGTTGGTTGGGAAAAAAGACTGTGGATCTGTAGAATTTAAATTAAAAACATATGCATCAGTTCCTAAAGTATACCTGCATGAAAAGATAGTAGGGGAAGATGAAACAGTCCAACAGAGCTCTTCACATCACTTAACAGGTCTTTCTTCTTCAAGTGTCTACTCAGGAAGGTGTGAGCTCCAGAAATTATTAAGGGATGTGAATTTAATTCATTGAAAATTAGGAATATCTACATATCAGCTAAGCAATCTATATAAAACATCGTAAGGAAATCCAGATTTTAATCCTTGTACTGTCACACCTGAGGGCCTTAAATAGCTTTAAATAATAGAAACTGCTTTGGCAAATAGGTGTTTAAAATTTATCTTTTGTGCTAATCATATTGCCTACTCCTCCCTCTCCTACTGAACTTTTTGATCATTAGTGAATAATAAAGGTCAACGTATTGAATGGTTTTATCCTAACATATACATATACATACACATACACATATGCTGTTTCTTTTAGCTTCTTACACTAATGAGACAATACGATATTGTTTGTCTTATTTGCTTCACTAATGAATATGGTCTCACATTACATCCATTTACCTATACAAGTCTCCAGATTATCCTTCTTTATGGATGAGTAGTTCTCTATTGTATAAAAATAGTATTTTTTTTCATCCATTCCTCAGTCATGGGGTATTTAGGTTGTTTCCAAGGTCTGGCTATTACAAATTATGCTGCTATAAACATGAGTGCACATATATTACTGTGGTATGATGTTTTTAATTCTTTTGGGAAGATAACCAGAAGAGGAATAGCTGGGTTCAATGGGTCCTCTAGCCCTAGTTTTTTTAGGAATCTCCACACTGATTTCCACAGTGTTTGCACATTCTGCATCCCACCAAGAGTAGAGAAGAGTTCCTTTTTCCCTACAGCTCCTTAAGCATTTGCTATTGTTTGATTTCTTGATAATAAGCAGAAAATGTATAATCTTATTTACCCATTACAGTATCATGTACAGTTGTTTGGCTGCCCTAAAGTTTCACTGTGTTCCATCTGTTTGTTTCTTTCCTGCTTCTGGAACTTTGAACAATCATTGAATTTTTTTTCATAGTGCTGGTGCTCAAACTCCAGACATTATGCATATTAGGCTACGAAGCTACATCTCCAGCCCAATCACTTTATACTGTCTGTATATAGTGTTGCCTTTTCTAGAATGTCATATAGTTGGAATCATACACTGTGTACTCTCCTCAGATTAACTTCTTTCACTTAGCAATATGTTTAAGTTTCATCCAAATCTTGTTGCTTGAAGGTTCATTTATTTGTGTGTGTGTGTGTGTGTGTGTGAGAGAGAGAGAGAGAGAGAGAGAGAGAGAGAGAGAGAGAGAGAAAGAGAGAGAGACAGACAGACAGATAGACAAACCGACAGACAGACAGAAAGACTAGGGAATGAACTCAGGGCAATCTACCACTTAACTACATCCCAGATTTTTTTGGAACAAGGTCTTGTTAATTTGCCTTTACTGACTTTTGATCCTCCTGTCTCAGCCTCTCAAGTAGCTTGGTTTATAGGTATGTATCACCACATATGGATCTTTTCATTCATTTTTAATGTTGAATAATATTACATTGGATTAGTGCACCACACTGTTCATTCTTTTTTTTTTTTTAACACACTGTTTATTCTTTAGCCTACTGAAGGACATTTTTCTTGCTTCCAGTTTGGCAGTTGTGAATAAAGTAACAATAAACATTTGTGCATTTTACTTATTTGAATAAATAACTAGATGCTTAACTGCTGCATAGCATGTGTCTTTGTTTTGTGTTGCTGTAACAGGGTACTTGAGACTGGTGCTTTTATTTTTTGAATGGAGGTCTACTTTGCCTATGTTGACTTTGAAGTCACTATCCTCCAGACTTGGTAGTAGCTTGGACTAGATGCATGTGCCACTACACCAGGTTAAGCTGGTAACTGATAGAGAAATTTAGTTCACAGTTCTGGAGGCCCAAGAGCATGACACTATCATTTTGTCAACTTCTAGCTAGAAGCCACATATTGTTCATATTTTGGCAAAGAAGCAGAAAGTTAAGTGGTGTACACAGAGCACCCATGTGGAAGAGAGGCTGATTTGCTTTATAGTCACCCAATTGCATGGTAACTTTTCCAGTGCAGAGACCTCACTCTCTCCTACAAGATGGCATTAATCCCTTTCAAGGGTGGTATATTGATGACCTAAATACTTTTCCCTAGATACCTTTTCTCAATACCATTATATTGAGCTTCCAGCTCATGAATCTTTCGAGAACAAACCATTTCTAAACCATAAAAGTAAGGCAAAACCATGGTCATCTTTGGAAGAAATTGTCAATCTGTTTTCCAATGTGGCAATCCAATTTGATATTTCCACTATAATCACTTCCACTATAATTCACTCCTTTAATTGCCAATATTCCTTTGTTCAACACATATTCATTTATGCATCTATGCCAACCTTTTATAGGCAGTAGGTATACAGAAGCAAACCTATCCTTCTGCTGTATATATTCTAGCTACAATGAACAAATATAAACAAATTCCTAAGTAGCATACTAGACGGTGAAGTAAGTACTATGGAGAAGCTGTATGGAGAGAAATAGAAATGTATGTAAATTTGGTTAGCAGATAAAAAGTTATTTGAAATTGTAAGGGTGAAAGCTGTTCAAACTACAACAGTCATTTATGCACAACCCTAACAAAATGGAATTGGAAGCTCATAAAAGAAGAGTTCTTAGGAGCACATGCATATAAAGAAAATTTCAAGAACTCTCTGAAAAGTTTGCGTGATTTTACTCAGTGACTACTTCTAAGAAGCATCTCTTTAGCAACTGTCTGTTCTATTAGACAGACACACCCTTCTTTACCTTTCTGATCATTGCTTAAAAATGACTTATGTGGGCTCGGGGTTTAGCTGAGTGGCTTAAGTGTCTGTCTGGCAAGCACGAGGTTGTAAGTTTGATCCCCAGTGGGGGGAAAAAAAAACAAAAAACAAAAAAATCCAACAACTTACGTAACCTTCATTTTAAATTAAAAAACCCCTTATCTTTCTTTGCTTACATAGGTTTATAATTTGACACAGTGTTTGAGAAGGGATTTGACAAAGTCCCTCAAAGAGGGGATGGGGATTCCAATTCACTCCACCCACATGGAAGGTTGTAAGTTTGCCTATCAGCGAGAAGGATACACAGTTTTATCAGGCAGAGTTATACAATTACAAACCCACAGAGGGTGGATGAGATAGGGAAGGAGCAAAAGAGGAAGGGGTGAACAGTATGATCTAGAATTGGGGTTTTTGTGGTCTTGGGACGGAGTCTAGGTTGGTGATTTAGCACAGACTTAACTTACAGGTGAAAGGCCTGGGCCTGATTTACAGGCTTACTGAACCTTTTAGACTCTTAGGATTTTGATGGGCCGTTGGGGAGTTTCTTGAAAGGGAAAGTAGCATTGTAATCTTGGGTAACTTCGTGTCTTGAACCTGCAATTTTCCTAAAAGTTCAACTTTAAAAATTAAGATTTTCCTCTTCTCCTTCTTGGATAGGAAATAGCAGTGTACACATACCAGATTTGCATATATGTGTAAAATGGCATGAAGAAGAACAATAGGTTTGGCCAGAATAGGGACTAAACTTTGTATGGAAAAATGTTATCAGGGTCCAAAACCCAAGTAGAGGCCAAAATAACTTTGCAAGTCTTCAAAGATAACAGCATTTATAACACTGGTGGAGGTTTTGGGCTGAAGCCTGTTTTTTAAGCTTGTGACACAAAGGCCTGGTCATCTGATGTTAATAAATCTAGCTCCTGGTCTAGCTATGATCAGCAAGAAAAAAACTCCTTAGGTTAATCATCTTTCTGTAAGCAAATTCCGTGTGTCTGGCCTGAGTGCGCGGGTACTACTGATTGAAGCCAGGACCTCCAGCAAGCCAGAGGCCTAACGTTTCCTACTTTACAGCGACAAGACTGAGGAGGAAGCCTTGGGACTCTTCCCCACAAGAAAGTGGGGCAGGACGTGGAGAAGGCGCACCCTGGTGGCTAAAAGAAGGGACCGCGTAGACGGTCACCCAGTTCTGGATATGGGCCAAAATGCACAAAAGTCTTACTCAGTGGCCCTTTTGAGCGACAGTCTTCTATGCAAGTCACCGACGACCGGCCAGGATTTTCAAAAGGCCCGCGCCTAGGCAAAACCAGCAGTACCCAACAACGCATTAAGACGGCTAGGGAGGAGTAGCCAGGAGCCAGGAGCCAGAAACGGGGGCGGTGGCGCCAAGTGATGACGTAACATAGATCGCGTCCAGGTGACGTTTGACGTAGACGACGCCGGGTTGCGCCTGTCACCTCCCTCCCCTCCTACTCTCGGAATTGGTTCTGAGGAGGAGCAGGCGCCATGGCGGTTTTGCTGGAGACCACTTTGGGCGACGTCGTTATCGATTTGTACACAGAGGAGCGGCCGCGAGGTGAGACCCACGTCCTGCTCAGCTCGGGCCGCGCCGCTAGCCTGCTTTTTCTCTGCACAACCCTTGGCGGCGTTGGGTGGAGCCTCTGATGCCCGCCATGGGGCTGTACTTAATGGGCCGTGGTTAGAAAAGTTTTTGTGAGATTTCGTTCATGAGCCGCTCTTGTATCCCGTTGGCCAGTCAAATGGAGGGCGCTGCAGTCATTAATTGCTTTTGGGATGCTTGAGTGATGGGGAATGTATATTGCAATACCAGTGGCTTTTGCGGCTTTGCTGTGCTTTATTTACTTGTGGAGAACACATCAAATGCTACTCGGTATGTAGTCAGTTGAGTCTTGAAGAAAGGTGGTAAGATTTGCACGGCTCAGTGAGTGGCTGACTCAGGATGGTTCACATCGCATCCTGCCTGGATGGAGGTGGGTGTTCACAGGTATAGACAGACCCTGCAGGGCACGGAGTTACACCCTATTCCAGGCGTCTTGTCCTTCAGGGTCTCGTTTTCCACTGAAGGTGAGATTGAGGGAGAGCCCGTTTTAGCTTTGTAAGTTTTGTAGTAGTACATTGTGTGAGTTGCTATGGAAAAAGGAGGGCGTAGGGAGAAGGAAAGCAACTAGATTGTAGGGCATTTCAGCAAGCTCTTTCAGATAGGACTGGGAACGAGGGATTTCCTAGCAATTTACTTGGAATTGTTTGGAAACATCAAGTGGTGTGACTGGAAGTAATGAGTCAGGTCCTGAAAATCCTCTGTGCCCTACAGGTCACCAGTCTTTGAAGGTTTTAAAAGCAGAATTGAAGCTTGGGGTTGCTTTGGGAAGAAAGTAGGCAGCAGGTAGAGAATGTATCAGTTGGAGGAAGCAGAGACTTGAAGAGCTTAGTTACAGTAAGGGTCTTGCTGCTATGGAATGGAGTCCATCAGAGAGGATGTAACAAGCTGTAACAAGCTGGCACCTTTTCCTTCCATACACTTTCTCCCCACTCAGCTATTCCGCATTCCCCAAAAGCACTTTATATTCTACCATGATCCTTGCCATTCTTTGCTATTTCTCTGCCTCACGTTGCTTTCCATTCTTGTCCTCCTGGCCAACCTTTTACTTACTTAGGTCTCAAATCAAGCATGATCTCTGCTTTGCAGTGCTCCCTTCTAGAGTTAGATCTGCACTCATTATTTCATTAAATCACGTGACAGTTATTTTATTATAAAGTTTACCTTTCGTCTTGGAATTACTTCCAAGTCTTGTCTTCTCTAAAGAATGTACTCCAGGGAGAGCAGGAAGTACCTGAATTTTATCTCTGTATCTTGAGTACAATCTCTATCACTTTGAGGGCACACACTAAGGTTCATATAGTTACTGATAGACTGAAAGGTATTGTGGTAGGACTCTGTGCAAGTGATAAAAATCTAAAACTAGCTTAAGTAAAATAATTGCTTTATGTTATTGGGGTAAACTTGACTTTCTGAATAGCTGAAGTTAGAAGTTTAAAGAGCGTTTTAGCGCATTGTTTTTCTTTTGGTTTTGCTTTCCTTGGAGCTCTTTTGACACACTCTCCATGCAGTGCAGCACCTTCAAAAATGAATAGATCTCCTGGCCCAGAGTTGTGAGAAACTAAAGGAGAGATAGATTTCGTCTCTTCTAATATGCAGTGATTTTACAATTAGCATTCACCACCTAAAATACAACTGTATTCTATGTGTACATATTTGTAAGCATATAATTGGAAATTACTTACATTTTATCTACTTTTCATTGAGTAGTAACATACCTAGACTTATCCTTTTTTATTTATTAGAAAAAAATAAAAATATACCAGGGTAGGGAAAATTCTGTTCTGTAATTAAGTTTCTTGCATTGATGACCATCTTCACCTATGGTTCTCAGCAGTGGGTATCAGCCAGGCAGGCTTTCTTCCTTTCTTCTTCCCTTTCTTCTTTATTGCATTTCTGTCTCCCTTTCTGCTTCCCTCCCTTCCTCTCCATGCTTGTGCTGGGAATTGAACCAGGCTCTCAGGCTTGCTGGGTAGCTAGGTAGGCACTCTACCACTGAGTTACATCCCTCACTCCTGGTTTAATTTATAGTACTTTTACCACCACTGGATTTATTTAATCTGAAATTAGTTCATTATGTAGCTATAAAAAATGATTTAAAAAAACAGAAGCACAAGTCATTATTACATCATAAAAAATTAACAATATCTTGGTATCATTTAAACTTTCCTGTCACCTCATAAATACAAGTTGGTAATTTAAATTAGCTCATCAAGACCTACATAGTAGTGGATAGATCTCTTAACTTTTTTTTTTTTTTTTGGTGAGACAGGGTCTTGCTATATAGTTCGAGCTGGCCTTGAGTCACTCACTATACATCCCAGGTTAGTCTTGAATTTGTGACAATCCTCCTGCTTTAGCCTCCCAAATTGTGGGATTACAGGGGTGTGCCACCATGCCTGGCATTAGGTATTTTTTAAATTTTTATCTACCCCCCCTTTTTTTTTCCTTTAACACTTTTTGAGAAAGAATCCAAGTCTTTGTCTACAGAATATCTCCAGTTTCATTTTGTCTGATTTTTTTTTTTTTTTTTCTCGGAAAGGATCTCACTAAGTAGTTCAGGCTGGCTTTGAAATCACTGTGTAGCCCAGGCTGATCTCAACTTTTGGTGATCCTTCTGCCTCAGCCTCCCAAGTGCTGGGATTCCAGGCACCAGGCCCACCTGGCTAATTCTTTCTTTTTTATGTCTTTTAACATATTCCTTTATCTCTTTCATTTCCTAAAAATTGCTACTTAGATTGAGTCTTGGTCAGAGTCAGATTTAGTGTTTAGGGCAAGAATATTTCTATAAGATAGGGTGCACTTGTGGATGCATCACATCCAGGAGACATTAGATATCTGTGTTGCTGTTTTTAACATGTTATAATTGGTCAGTGGGTTTAGGCCTTGTCTACTTTATAAGTGCTTCCATCAGCTTTTCATCTACAGATTTTGGCAGCCATTGATGATTATTGCCTAGGTGCATTATTTTTGTTGTCTTGTAAAAGGACTACTCTTGCTTGTGAGCTGAGAAATATACTCATGAAAAATAACTGAAAGGTGTATATTCAAGACTTTACAACATTTCTCTGCCTTTTTCACTGTTATTCTGTGATACCTGAATATTACGGAAAGACTGGTTTTTTGGACATCCCTCCCTCAAAAAACATTTAAATTCGCACTTTCATGTTTTTTCATAATAAATTCCTAATATGAAATTACTTTTTGCTCTCTGTTTGTCCAGTTCTTTTTTTCTCCAGTTCTTATATAAGTGACCCATAAAATTGTACATATTTATGAAGAGCTGTGTGATAATTTGATACAATCCAGTTCTTTTAATGCTTACTATAGGCTTCTATGAGGTCTCCTAATTTCTTTTTTTTTTTTTTTGTCTTTTTCCTTTTTGTCGGTACCAGGGATCGAACTCACGACTGCCTGCTTGCAAGGCAGGCGCTTATGCTGCTGAGCTAAATCCCCAGCCCCTAATTTCTTTTTTTTAATATAACGGTTTTATTTTAAAGGTAGTGAAATCCAACAAAACAAGACAGAACAAAGCCAATTAAAAGAATGCAGCAAAGTTGGTACAAAACTTTAAAGCAGGATACCAGAAAAACAATAATAGCTACCATAGTGTATCTTGGTATCTTCACAATAGTTGTCCATTCCATCAGGTATAGCAAAATCAAACCAAAAACATGACACAATAAAATCAATCAAAGCAGAATATTGAATAAAGCAAAACAATCAGAACAAAGCAAAACAGTGAAAACAATATTGAATTTCAACGACAAACTAGAAGGATATTCCCTGTATTTGCTATATTGCATATTATCATCCTAGAGGCCAAAAGATGCTCAGAACAGCTAACTCCAGGTCTGCATAATCAACCCAACAATATAAGTATTTAGTTGCTTTATCAACCTTAGTTGCTATCAACTCAGCCAGTACTCCAAACTAGTGGGTTGCTGAGGGTGGAGTGGGGGACGGGATACAGACATAGACATGGACATCGTTTGATTCTCAACCTGTACATTGGTAGGCTCACGGGAGGCCTTGACTTTTATCTCCCCTAGAGCCCATACTGCTTGCACAGCTTACCAGGATGGCTGCCCCGTTGATTTCTTGGTTGGTCCCCAAGTCCCAGCATCTAGGTCTCCTAATTTCTTAAGCTAGAAACATTTCTTTAAACTCTTACGGTACTTTAAAAACTACTTTTTATCATTTTACTATTTCAATGGCACAGGTGGTGTCATTGTATAGACCTAGCGTTATGTTTATGTTCAACTGTAAGTAACCTAGTTTAATAAAAGCTCCTTGAGGGCAAGGATTGCCTCATGTATCTACCGTCTGTTTTCTTTTTCTTTTTTTTTTTTTTTGGTCTTTTTCATCGGTACTGGGCATCAAACTAACGAACACCTACTTGCAAGGCAGGTGCTTATGCCACTGAGCTAAACTCCCAGCCCATTTTTTTTTGTCTTTTTCATTTTTATCGGTACCGGAATCGAGCTCACAACCGCCTGCTTGCAAGGCAGGTGCTTATGCTGCTGAGCTAAACCCCCAGCCCCTACCGTCTGTTTTCTGACTTCGTGTCTTAAGTCTTGTGTGTCTCTTTGTGACTAACCTATCAATCAGTAGAATGCAGGGACCATTGCTTATGGGATTTGTGATGGCAGTGCCAAGCATCTGGAAGGTAAAATGTTTGTGAACTGAGTGAACAAATTTCTATGAGAAGCCTATTTACACTAAATACAGATTTTTGTTGGGTATTGTAGTATCTGTAATCCTAGCACACAGGAAGTTTGAGGCAAAATGTCAAAATTTCAAATCTTGCCTGATGAAGTTCGTAACTCAGAGAGCTCAAAATAAAAGAATAAAAAAAGGCTGGGGATATAACTCAGTGCAAAGGCTTTGGGTTTAGTCCCCAGGAGTCCTCCCCCACCATGGACTTTTGTGATGTATTTTCTAATTATTGTTAAAAAAAAAAAAGTCCCTAGAGGTCTGATTTTCTCTATTTTATGTAATGTGTACTTATTTTCATATATTCTGCTACATCTTTTCCCATCATAGTGCCCTCTTTAATCATCTGTTTTTCTTTTAATAAACCCAAGCCATCAAATGATTGATTGTTTATCTCATGATGATAAATAATAATTTCCTGCATTATTCAGATGCCCAAAAAGTCCTAAGATAAAGAAAATAAATGGATAATTTAAAATATTGCCTTTTAAAAGGCTCATTCCCAATTTATTTTATTTTGTTTGTTTATTGTTTTGAGACAGTCTCACTCTGTAATTCAGGCTGGCCCTGAACTCGTGGCAATCCTCCACCCTCAGCCTCCCCTGAGTGCTGGGATTATAGGCATGTACCACTATGCCTGGCTGCATAATAGCTTTGTACACTTAACTTTTTTTTGATCCTTTTAATAATTTAGAAATTAAATTATACCAGCTGTGTTAGTATGAAATTGAATTTGCTTGTTTACAGTTGAATTTGTGGATTACTGTGGTAAATGTAGTGTTTACTTTCTTTCAGCTTGCCTGAATTTCCTGAAGTTGTGTAAAACAAAATATTATAATTATTGCCTTATTCACAATGTACAGGTGAGTTGGTAGGTATTAGTCATGTCCTTTGTTTTTAGAACCATCTAGCAAATTCTATGAATCAATAAAGAATCCTATATATTATAGAGGGATTTTATCATACAAACTGGCGATCCTACGGGTACTGGCCGTGGAGGAGAATCAGTTTTTGGGTAAGTTCTTTTATTTTTAATTGAAAAATAAAAATAATTAAAAAAATAGAACTCTGTATGGTTTCATTATCATTTTAAAATGTATTTCAACTGTAGAGTTTTTCTTGTTTCCTAAATGTTTATATCAAAAATAAAATATTTTGAATCATAGTAATATTTTTATAAATAGTTGCTAACATTGTATTTCATGCTACTTCTGTGTTTTACTTTGAGAATACTAATGTTTTATAACCTTACTGTATTTTCAGTCAACTGTATGGAGATCAGGCAAGCTTTTTTGAGGCAGAAAAGGTGCCAAGAATTAAGCACAAGAAGAAAGGCACTGTGTCCATGGTGAACAATGGCAGTGATCAGCATGGATCTCAGGTTAGAAAATGGATATTTGATGAGCTTTGCTTACAAATGAAGAACTGGGAGGAACCTACAAAGTTATCTCTTTAATTATTTAGTAATGAGAGTATATAGTCAAAGATGTTTTTATTTATTTATTTTTTCAGATCAATTTGACTTTAATTTTGATTATTTTAAAGATAGTAAAATACAACAAAACAATGCAGAAGAAAGCCAGTCAAGACAAGGCAGTGAAACTGGGACAGAACTGCAGAGCAGGATACCGAGATAACAGTAATTGGTATTATAGTATATCTTGTTGTCTTCACAATAGTTGTCCATTCCATGAGGAATGGACAAAATCAAACCAAAAACAGACACTAGAAAACCAATCAAAACAGGATATTGAATAGAGCAAAATAATCAGACCAAAGCAAAACAGTGAAAGCTATCTTGGCCTTTAAAGAAAGATAGAAAGAAATCCCCCATATTTGCTATATTGCATATGGTCATCCTCCTAAGAAATGTTCAGACCTCTGGCCTCATAGCTACATGATCAACCCAACAATATAAGCATTTAGTTGCTTTATGTATCTTAGATGCTATCAGCTCTGGCTGACCATGAAACCATCCAGTTGCTAGGTTTGATTCTCAGCCTAATGGCCCATAAACTTGCGGGAAACACTGACTTACTCTCTTGCTAGTGCCACTTACCAGGAAGGATGGCCATAGTCAAAGATATTTTTAAAAGCATTATTGGGCTGAGAGTGTAGTGCAGTTGTGCAAGGTGTGCTTTAATGTGTGCAAGGCCCTAGGTTCAATCCTCAGCACTATAAAGCAAAACAAAACAAAACAAAACACTATTTTCTCATCATGTAAGCCACGCCCATTGTGAGGAAACTAGAAAATACAAGAGAGGGCAAAGCAGAAAGTAACATTGACTACAGTCTCATCACCCATGAATATTACTGGTCTTATCTGTGGCCTGTTTACTTTTAGCATTTATTACTTATTTTAAAACATATTGAGCATCTTTCATTCATTGTATTGTATAATCCTCACAACAACTGTTAGTGTAGATGCTTTTATTTTTCACTCTTCTTGCCTGAGGAAGTTGGGCCATGGCTTGTCCAAGTATTTTAAACAATTGGGAGTATCTGTGTATTGATATTTTGTATATAAAGTTTGTGGTTTTGTTTCGTTTTTAAGAAAGGATCTTACTATGTAGTCCAGGCTGGCCTTGAACTCACAGTGATCCTCCTGCCTCAGCCTCCCAAATGCAGGGATTGCAGGCATGTGCCACTATGCCCAGCTCTAAAATTCATGTTTTTATTTAATCCTACTAACAAGTATGTGAGAATTGGCAAATAAATGGAGTCTTGCTTTTGTGTATTTTTTGCCTGTTTTTCAGTGATTTTAGAGTTGTATATATTTTTAATATTTATAGTGTTATGTGTCTTTTTTGTATAGTTTCTTATTACTACAGGAGAAAATCTAGATTACCTTGATGGTGTTCATACAGTGTTTGGTGAAGTGACAGAAGGCATGGACATAATTAAGAAAATTAACGAGACCTTTGTTGACAAGGATTTTGTACCATATCAAGATATCAGGTATGGTTACAATTTAATATCTTGCTTGTACTATAATGGCTTAATATTGTGGCTTTTGATATGTAGTGGCCTGGATGAGAGTAGTATGCATAGGACTAGTTTCTGAAAAATTCTAAAATGTGGTTTAATACAAGATGGTAAGAGTCTTTTTACAAAGATTTTATGCTTGTACTAATTATAATTGCTTACATTGGGAAATATTTCTGTTTTAGTTTTTAAAATGCAGATTATTTAGAAATTGGTTGAAAGTACTAAGATTCAGACATTTACATCTTAAGGTAATGCAGTTACAATATTAATAAAAAGCAATATTCATCAAAGTATACTGTAGATTAGTAATATCTGTGTGCTATTTGCAGCTTTTTGGCATTAGAGACACTGTCTTACTTACTTTTCTTGTTGCTGAGACAAAATATGGACACCTAAGGTTAAAGAAGGGAACGTTTATTTAGCTTGCTCACAGTTTGTAAGAGGTTTCAGTTCATAGTGGCTGTCTCTAAGATAGGATGGCTAGCACAGGGGCACCTCATCATGGCAGCGGAAGATACCAAAAGCAATAGGAGAGGAGGGGAGAGTAAGCTTCTTTCCCTCCTTTATATTGTATGTAGACTACTTGCCCTAGGATGGGGGGGGGGTGGCATTCACACCCTTAATCCCAGCATTGGAATCATTGAAACTGGATTCATTTACCTCAGAAAAGCCTACCTCTCATGAAGCGTGAGGCATTGCAGAAAGATCTAGACACCAACCATAATATAGGAAAATAAAATACAGATTCTGAAAAAAATGTAACATTTGACTTGGATTTGTTTTGTAAGGATAAATCATACAGTGATTTTAGATGATCCATTTGATGACCCTCCTGATTTATTAATCCCTGATCGATCACCAGAACCCACAAGAGAACAGTTAGATGTAAGTAAAGTCTTCTAATTGAATATACATGTATATTAACAATATAATGATTTAGCTTATAGTTATTAAGACTTCATAGTGATTGTCTTGCTTGAGCAATTAAACAAGTTTTATTGTCTAACTCTAGTTTAGTGAATAGCTTTAAAACGAAATTAGACTATCATCTTGTGAGGGAAATTTTCAGCTGAGGTTACTTTGGAGTCAGGGTGGAACCCAAATATTTCTGTGGAGTAGCGCAGACTGTTTCCTCATGTATTTTAACCTATTGATTTCTGCTTATAAGACTTTCTCACAGCTGAATTTATGGTTGAGATTAGTGCTCATTTTAAAGATCATTTATCTTCTCCTTTCAGTACCTAGTTGAATAAAACTAATAGCTATGTAAATGTTTATTTTGATTTTATAATAAATCAGAGGCCCAACCTGGCTAGTATACAATTAATTTAAATCAGTTTTCTTGTAAATTTGTTGCAGTTGCTATTGAAGCACATTTGGTGAAACTAAGAATAAATCATAGGTCTTCCAGGTTTCTCAGATTTTGTTTATTCTTTAAATATGTATTATCAGTAAATTCTACCTTGCAGAGTGGTCGAATAGGAGCAGATGAAGAAATTGATGATTTCAAAGGAAGATCAGCTGAAGAAGTAGAAGAAATAAAGGCAGAAAAAGAGGCCAAAACTCAAGCTATTCTTTTAGAGATGGTAAGACAATTATCTTTTTTTCAAATAATTGTTTTGTAGCATTCTTGGCACAATTTTTGACTCTTGTCTTAAAATAGTAAAAACAGTGAAGAGTTATTTTTCTGGATTAAATTTTATAGGCATAATAACACATGAGGGTAAACAAATTTGGACCTAGGTACCTGTTTTAAAAATGGGGAGTGGGTATCTAATTTATAAATACTGCTTTTATTGTTTTATCTTTCTGAGACAGGGTCTTGAAATGCAGTTTAGGCTAGCCTTGAACTTCGTAACCCAGGCTGGTCTTGAACTCACAGTGATTCTCCTGTCTCAGCCTCCCAAATGCTGGAATTACAGGCATGTGCCACCATGCCTGGCTTTAAGACTGAATTTTATGTAAATTATTGTGCCACTCAAATACTGAGATTAAATGATGGAATAGGGATTGGAGATGTAACTTCATGGTAGAGTGCTTAGCATGTGCAAGGATTTCGGTTTAATCTGTAGCCCCCAAATACAAAATATATGTATGCATAGTAGAACAATAGTTGGAGAGTAAAATAAATCAGGATAGAAACTGATCACTCTAAAATATACTTTCTCTATATTACTAATAGTATGTAGTTAATTTGGAGAATAATTATTTTGATCTATTTTGAATTTATATTAGCATCACTAGTCTAAATAAATATATACCAAGGCTATAATTTCAAAACCTTTAGTGAAACAAAACAAAAAAAATTTAAAATGTACCTTTTAAGGCAAACACTCTATATCTAAGAATATGTGCGTGACCTGAGTAGCTCCAGATGTTTACCAAGAGGAAGGATGGTTAGAGGATGAGAAAAATAAAGGCGAGATGAAAGCTGGGGACCTTTCTTACCTGATGGGGAAGAAAGGAGCTACTTCCTCACTCTAGGGGTGTTTATTTAAACAATTAACAATTTAAGGTTACGTGACACCCCATTGCCTAGTACTCTGCGTGTGTAGCAACCTAAGGGCCTGAATTTTGGGGGCCAGTGTCACTTGTTTTTGTGGCTTGACCTGGGCAGTCTTTGTTCTCTGATCTAGCTGGCCAGCTCCCGCAGGTGTGTTGAATTTCCAGCTTCAGTGGTGGCTTCTAACAAATATTAACCTAGAACAATGAATACCAACGGAAACTTTAAGAAAATTACTAGATTTAGAAGAAAGAGCTTTTGTGTAACAGTCCAAAAGAGTAAGAGACTACTAAGAGAAAGATTACTAGATTATCATTCTTTTCAACAACAGACCTTTAGGACATTTATTACCGGAAGAGAAAATGGATTAGCTGGGTATTGTGGCACATGCCTATATCCCAGCACTGAGAGGCAAGAATATTGCTGTGAGTTTGAGGCCGGCCTGGACTAGCTAGAGAGACTCTGCCTCAAAACCAAACCAAATGAAACCAAACCAGCCAACCAACCAACCAACCAACTAAAAACAGGATTAATGTTTCTGAAGCTTTCTGTTTTTAGGTAAATTTAAGCTTATGGGAAAATGTGTAAAATTTTTTTATATATTTTACCAAGATTCACCAATTTTTAACGTTTTACTACATTTGCTTGTTTGTTCTGGTTACACATGTACATAAGCAAACATTTTGTTTTTTACTATTTGAAAGTACGTTGCCTATCAGTTTCCTTTATTTTTTTAGTTACGGTGAGTCCTAAGGGCAACAGTAGCCTATTTATGGTACAGTTATCAAAATCAGGAAATTCAAATTAGTTTTTAAGTTTTTCTTCTTTTTTGTTTTCTTGAGATAGGGTGTGGCTATGTAATTTGTGCTGTTTTGAACTCACTGTGTAGTCCAGTCTGGCCTCGAACTCACAGTGCTTGCTCTTCCTGTCTCATCTTCCTCAGTGCTAGGATTATAGGCAGGTGCCCTCTAACCTGTCTAAATGGCTCATGCAAATATAATTTTTTCACAGTAAAAGCAATACCATCATCTTTCTCACTGTTCCTTTACTGGTTCTTCAGTAGAAAGTAGTATGTTCTACTTAGTGCAGTAGCTGACTTGTGAAATGGACTTTGTTTTGGTTAAAGTAGAAGGCCAGAGGTTGAGAATTTAAGAAAGAAAACTAGAAACACTTTTCAGGAATTGCTCCTTTTTTTTTTTCCTTTTTTTTTTTTTTTTTTTTGGAGAAAAGGTCTCCCTGTGTAGCCCAGGGTGACCTCAAACTAATGGTGGTCCTCCTGCCTCTGCCTCAGCCTCTGGAGTGTTGGGATTATAGGCATGTCCTACCATACCAAGCAAATCTTACATACTAAGCAATAATGTGGAATGACTTGGGCAGTATGAATCATAGAAAGTTAGGTTCGGTATGATATTTTTCAAAAGTTCAAAAATAAATCTAAACAATAAGTTCTTTAGGAATGTGTATATATGGTGGTAAAATCCTAAAGATACTCCAGAGAATATCCCCAAAAGAAAGTTAAAAAGCTGGATATTTATAATCTGTAGTGACAGGCTGAAAACTCTTTCATCGAGGACTGTTTTAGTTCTTATATTAGGTAGGTTGTTTTTATCTAGGTGCTCTTTATTTCTTTGCTTCATTAATTTAGATACTTTACATACTTTTTTATAAAAAAATGGAAAAAGTAATTAAAAAGTAAAAAAAGTAATTAAAATTGGTTGTTCGAAGATAGATCTCATTTCAAATTCCACCTCTGGTGTACTCTTTGCCCTTGGGCAAGTTATTTCCCTACTCCTCTTGAGTTTCATGTTTTTTAAAAATTGAATTTGCAGCGTGAGTTGCTTGCTTTTTTTCTTTCTTTCTTGTACTGGATATTGAACTCAGGGTCTTGCATTTGCCAGGGAGGCACTTTTGCTGCTGAGCTATTTGCCAGGCAGAGTTGTTTTAAGAACTAGCAGTAATGGGACTGGGCACGATGACACTTGCCTTTAATGGCAGCACTCAGAAGCTGAAACAGAAAGATCGCAAGTTTAAGCCCATCTTGGGTAATTCAGTGATTTAGCAGATGCTATTTCAAAATGGGAAAAAATAAAAGGGACTGGGGTTGTGTGAAATCTCTGGGTGTTCAGTTCCTAGTACTGCAAAAAAACAAAAAAAGAATTGGCAACAGTGCATTTGGAGGGTTTATATGTGGTATTTGTACAAAGTATGGGTTAGGTAATTGTTAGGTATTAATATTGTTAATATCAAGAATGTATAGTTTCAAATTTTCAAATCTTTAGATTTCTTTTCCTGAGCCTGCAGTGGTTTATGATATAAACATCATTGTTCTAGGGCCATTGGTGTTGAAGGCTTGGATGAGGTATTTAGAGTGGAAACTAAATAAAGGAATTGATTTGTATCCTTGCTCATTTATAATTCAGGTGGGAGACCTACCTGATGCAGATATTAAACCACCAGAAAATGTGCTGTTTGTGTGTAAATTGAATCCGGTGACTACAGATGAGGATCTGGAAATAATATTTTCAAGATTTGGCCCAATAAAAAGGTAATGGCTAGAGTTAGTGAATGAGAAATTTAGTAATATCTAAGTATTAGTCGATAGTTTTCTAATGACACTTTTGGTGAATCTCTAAAGTTTGGGTGAATTTAGTAATGTTGAATTTTTGTAGGTAAGTGGACAGTTGAGAAGAAAAGTATAAGTACACATGTGTGCACACGCGTGTGCACACACACACACAGACTAAATATTTAAATGATTCTCCAAGTCCTGACAAACATTTTTACCTTAAAACAGGAAATGAGGGGAGTGATTCAAGTTTAGTTCTGTAATATTTTCAAGAGTATTCTTTAATATTTAAAATATCTCATTTAATCAACTAAACTTATCAGCAATCTAAGTAAAATTTAAACTTTCCAATATTTTTCTTTTGATTATCTCTGCATTATTTAATAAAGCAAAATTAAATAATGTTACTATTTCAGTGAGAAAGTGGAACTGTTTTGTAACTAATAAAAATTATTATGTTTAGGATTTTCTTTCAAGTTTTTAAGATGATTGTATGATGCATGGAGAAAGAGACAAACCAGTTGCCTTCAACTTCAGCTGACTGGCCCTTTCACTTGGTTGTTAGATGGTGGATAAGTTCTATGTAATAGCTATACATACAGTGTTAAATTTGGAGTCAGTTTATATTAAAATTCCAAAGCATAGATTTATTTATATATGTATGGATATACATATATTATTCTAAAGTAACATATCCTACAGTTTGTCTATATTTGGGCTAGAATTATGATTGAGAAAATTTTAGCAGTGGTTTATTTTTATTAAAGGAAAGTTAACTATTTTAATTTGATTTAAAAAATGTTTTCTTTTTGATACCGGGATTGCCAGGCTGGCACTTATGCCACTGAACTAAATCTCTGGACTTTTTTTTTTTTTTTTTTAATTTAAGGAGAAAAAGAAAAAAACAGAAAAAGGGTACAAGTAATACAAAATTTAAAAAATAAACAGTAAGAAATCACTAGTTAATAGATTACATATTCTCATCTTAGAAATAGTTGTTCAAGTTACAAAATTAAAGCATATAAAGTGGACTTTCAAACAGTGAGAGTGCAAACAGTTTTGTTCAATGATCCAAAAAAACTCAGTAGTATGGTTATCTATCTTATACACTTAAACATATATGCAGTTATATACTTTAGAGCACTTCCTTTTCTTTTCTTTTGTACAATGACAATTACACATTTGGGTTTTATTACTCCCACAGTTCTTATTTTTTTTGAAGAGAGTAAAACCAAATGTGACATATCAGAACAGAGTCAGTCAAATCAAAAGGATGGACATAATAGATAATGTAAAAACAAATACAAGGTGATCAACAATGATTACCATACTGGCTCTTGCTATTTTAAGAAGAATTGCCAGTTATAATAAAATTGAACAAAACAGTAAAGAATAAAACCAAAGCATTGGCGACATTACAGGACTTTAAAAGAAGGTAATAGTCAACCAGAATGGGCATCATAATGAATCTTATTGTCTTCACAGTTGTTGCCTATACTTTCGAACTTGGTACTATCAAGCAAAGCAGAATAGGGGATAATCAGTCAAAACAAGATGGTGAAGGCAATACAAGATTTCAAATCAAGTTAATAGGAAATCAAAGTAGGTTACTATAATGTATCCTGCTATTTTTTTATTTTTCCCTTAATTAAAAAGATAAAAATAAAAAAATAATTTAAAAAAAGGGGGGGATTGAGATAAAAGAGGACATAACAAAATAGCACAGGTCAGAACATAACCATTTAAGCAAAATAGTGTTTCACACAAGATATCCTGACATAAAAATAGTTACCATAGTGTCTCTTTCCTTGAAATCTTTGAGTATAACTTCGTATACTGTAGCACCAAACATATCAAGACACTATAAAACTATTCAAGAGAATGACATTATTACAGGGTATTTAGAACCCATTAACAGAAAATGAACAATGGTTTCTGTATAATCTCCTTGTCTATAAAAGTTTTTGCTTGTATTATCATATATAATAAAATCCAATAAGATACAACCTTTTAAGACCGATGGAGGCAGAAGAATACAAGTTTGATGGGACTTCAAAACAAGATGATACTAAATCAGCACTAGCTATTATGATGTCTTGTTTTCTCCAAAATAGCTATTCCTACCATCCAATCTTCTCTGCCTCATTTCTGTTGAACTCTTTTTCTGTCGTTGGTTGAATCTCTGGACTTTTTAAAATATTTTAATTTTATGCTTCTTTTAGTGTTTAGAGAGTATGGGACTACAGGCCTACGATGGGCATTTAGAGTAGAATTCAGATAATTTAGTTATTGGATTAATGAACTATTTTAAAAAAAGAATTGTTATTGAAGAAATTGGAGACATATAGATCCCTGAGTTTAACTTTGTCATTTAATAACTGACTTATTTTGTTCTTTGATTTTGAACAGTGAGAGTGAACAGTTTTTACTTTAAATCACTTTATAAAACTGTCTTTTAGTTGTGAAGTTATCCGAGATTGGAAAACAGGAGAGTCACTCTGTTACGCTTTCATTGAATTTGAAAAGGTATGTCATAATCTGGATATTTTAGGGGGTTTTTTGGCTTTTAAAATTTTTTTTGTGTGTATGTAGCACTGAAGTTTGAGCCTAGGATGTCATGTTAGACAAGTACTCTACCACTGAACTGTATCCTAAGCCCTCTTTTTATTTTGAAAAGGCCTTACTGAGTTGTGTAGGCTGCCACTTTTGAACTTGGCCATCTGCCTGCTTCAGTCATCCAAATAGCTGGGATTACAGGCATGTGCCCCTGTGCTTTATTTATTTATTTATTTATTCATTCATTCATTCACTCAGCACAGGTGATTGACTACAGAGCTTTTATACTGAGCTGTATATGATTATTATTGGTGTTATTATTATTATTATTTCATCTTTTTGAGACAGGGACTCACTATGTAGTTCAAGCTGGCCTTGAACTCACTTTGTAGGCCAGGCTTGTCTTACTTGTAACAATCCTCCTGCCTTAGCCTCCCGAGTGCTGGGATTATGGACATGAGCCACAATGCCCAACAATTTTTGTATTTTTTGAGATAGCGTCTCACTACGTAGTTCAGCCTGACCTTGAACTTATGTAGCCCAGGCTGGCCTTGAACTCATGGAGGTATTGGCTGTCTTAGCCTCTGGAGTGCGGGGATTACAGATATGTACCACCATGCCCATCTGATGTCCCCAGCTCTTTTTAAATTTATTTATTTTTTGAGACAAGGTCTTACTATATAGTCCAGACTCACCTTGAACTCGCTGTGTAGCATAGGCTCACGTTGAATTTACAGTGATTGTCCTGCCTCAGACTTCCTTGTGCTGGGCTTACAGGCATACACAACCATGTCTAGCTTTTTAAATGCAGAGATGGGATTTTGCTACATTGCTAAGTTTTGTCTGTCTTTTTTTTTTTCTGAAGTTACCTGGGTGGGTACTGAACTTGTGATCTTCATATTTCAGTCTCTTGAGTAGCTGGCATTATAAGCATGTGCTACTGTGCCTGGCTAGTTCATTTTTATATGGCATTAAATGTGAAAAACTATAAAACTCTCTTTAGTTTCTAGGATTGCATTTTGTTTAGGACCCAAGAAAGTGAGTCTTCTTTTTTATTCACATAGGGAGTACATTCAACTTCTTGATTTTTTTGTTTTTTGTTGTTTTGTGAGATACAGTCTTTGCGCCACTGTGCTCAACCTGTTGATTTTAATATATGACCCTTTACTGTAGGTTCAGATGTGGTCTGCCTGATTTTATCTTTAGAGCTTTGCATTTTTAGGCAAAGTCCTTCGTGATGCTCTTTCGATACTAATCAAGTTTAATTACATTATTTGACTTTATTTCTGTGGTTGGTAGTTTCTTTGTAAGTGTAACTGAGTTTGTATTTTTTGTATGTCAGGCAAATTCCATGGGCTTTGGGTAATTTGATCCTTTTTTTTTTTTTTCTTTCCCTTTTTGGTATAGGATCTTGCTATGCATTTAAGGCTGGCCTTGGGCTCACTTTGTAGCCCAGGCTGGTCTCAAACTCATACCAATCCTCTTGCCTCAGCCTCCTGAGTGCTGGGATTACAGGCATGTGCTGCCACGCCTGGCTCAAAAGTTTTTTAAATTGAATTAAATACATATGGAAAATGTACAAATCATTAGTGAACAGCTTGATGAATTACTACAAAGCTAACAGGTGTAAATTATTATTTGACTCAAGACATAAAATACTTAGCAAAAAAATTACTAGCATTCTGGAAGACCTCCTAAATATCTTTCCAGTAATTTCCTTATCACTTCTAACATCACATTAATTTCACTTAATTTTTCATATAAATGAGGGCACTATTATTTTGTGTCTAAATTCTTTTGCTTGTGTTGCGTTGTAACATAAGTATTACTATATCTTGCTTTGTTAGGTTTTAATTTTCATTGGCAATAGTTTTTCATTGTGTACATAAAACAGTTTATATTTTCATTCTGCTGTTGATGGACAGTTGAGTCCTTTCTAGCTTTTGGCTATTATGAATGTTGCACTACAAACTGTTTACTTATGTACTATGTTTTTATTTTTATTTTTTAAAGCAAATGTTCCATAAATATTTGCTTTGATATGTATGTGTTTCTGTGGGATATATATCTAGGAGTGAATTGTTGGGTCACAGGGTAAGTATAGCATTAGTAGATAACTAATTAGTTTTTTAGGGCAGTTATATTAATTTTCACTTATCAGTTAATGGCCATCTATATTTTTCTATATTTTGATCAACTCTTAATATTGGTCAGTCTTTTAAATTCGATCCATTCTGGTAGAAGTGTAGCATTTTATTGTGGTTTATTTCACTTTTCCCTGATTGCATACCTTTCCCTATGTTCATTACATTTGGTTACCCTTTTTTGAGTTTTTTATTTGTTTTTTGAGACAGTGTCTTGCTGTGTAGCCCAGACTGGCCTCAGAATCATGAGGTTCCTGACTGCTGGGATTATAGGAATGCACCACAACACCTGGTTGGTTGTTCTTTTTAAATTAAGTGCCTCCTTAAGACTTGCCTATTTTTCAGTTTGGTAATCTGCTTGTTTGTTTATTTGTGAGAATTCTTGTATTTTGAGAGTGCTACCTCTTTTTTGAGATATATTCTGTTCTGTGGGGTTTTTTTTCTTTCCTAATGCTGTCTTTTAATAAACAAGTTTGTAATTTTAATGCAGTTCAATTTGTCAATATTTTTCTTCCTTTTTCATGGCCAGTTAAAAAAAATCTTTGCCTAGCTTTCCTCCCTCTTTCTTTCTCTGTGTTTCTCTGTCTGTGTCTCGCTTACTGCTTTTGCTGTCTTCCACTGCCATGAACTGTTGCCCCTCTGTCATTTGTTACCCTACCTTGCAGTCAGCCAATTGTGGACTGAAACCTCTACAAACTGTCAGCTAAATAAACCTTTCTTTCCTTAAAAACAAAACACTTTTACCTACTCTAACGTCACAAAGATATTCTCTACTTTTTAGAAGCTTTGTGACTTTACTCCCAATTTGAATCTGTGATTTGATTTTTGTATATTATGTGGACTACATTAAGTTGCCTTTTTCTTCTTCTTGGTAGCCAGAAGTCCTGGTATCATTTATTGAAAAGGTTGTCCTGTTCACACAGGCTGTATAGGGTTCCCTTTGCATATAAATCAAACATTCACATTCTGTTTCTGGTTGTTCTCTGTTACACTGGTCATTTTTTGTATATTTTCGTGCCATTGTTTTTTTTTTTTTTTCTTTTTTTGCCACTGTTTTTGTTGTTCTTTTGTTGATCACTGCATTTATAATGTTTTCATATTTTGTAGTGTGGGTCCTTCATCTTTATTGTTTTTGAAGATTATCTTTGCTATTTGTGGATTTTGTATTTCCATATATATATTGTAATTAATTTGTCAATTTTGAAAAGATTTTTTAAACTATTAAATATAGATATTTCGTTTGCAAATACTGTAGTGAAAAAATGATCTCACAATTTTTTTTGGGGGGGGGGAAATGGTGCAGTGATGGGATTACACTTGTCCAAGTATATCAGTCAGTTTCATCAAATGTAACACTGATTGCTTACCATGTGCCAGATGATATTCTTAATGATGTAGATGGATAAAGCCTTGTCTGTGTCTTCATGGAGTTAATAATCCATTGACTTTATTAACCAGTGTATATTAATTCTTGACACACATGGGTAAATGATTGTAACTAGTTGTTTTATCCAGTTCTCTTGGAATTGTTTGTAGTACATTGTAAGTAGACAAAAGAGTAAATATCCAGGAATATAGAAAAAATTTGATTAGTGCCATGTTGAAATATGTTATTGTGGTCTTCAGATGTCAGAAAGACTTAGAATTTGTGAAATTATTGATAGGAATGGTTCTTGTATAGCTCAGCCCTAGGTATCATGGGCCCAACGTGCATTATCTAAAGTTTTAGGGAATTGCTGTGCTTCTGAATTTAGAATTTTTTAGGCTGGATGTGGTAATATATGCGTGTAATCCCAGCACTCAGGAGACTGAGGCAGGAGGGTTGCCATGAGTTAAAGGCCAACTTGGGCTACAAAGTGAGTTCAAGGCTAGCCTGAACTACAGAGTGAGACCCTGTCTCAAAAAACAAATGAACAACAACAAAAAAATTCAGAATTTTTCACAATTAAGAAAGGTACACTGTGTGTGGCCACACGTGCGCACACACACACACACACACACACACACACACACACACACACGTCTGTGGTTTACGTAGTATCCTTGTGAGCCAGCAATTTTTTAAGAATCACAATATTTTACAGTGAAAAAAATGGATATTCATATCAAGTGGGTTTTTAAAAAGGCTATAGACTCCTGTTAGATCAGATGTTACTGCCAAATTGCTAAGACTGTTGGTTCTTGTTTTTGTTTTGGTGCTAGGATTTCTTCAGGGCTCCATTTATGTTCTTGCTCTATCACTGACCAACAGCCCTAGCCTCTTTTATTTTTAATACAAAATTTATGAAAACTTTTACTTTTAGGATACAGTATTTTTGGGTTGTTGGTAAAAAAGATCATCGATTTGTACTGTGTAGCAGTTGTTTAAGTGTGTGTATTTCCACTGTAATCAGACTGCCTCAGTTCAAAATCCTGGCTTTGACCTGTGCTGTGTGACTTGGCAACTTCTATACTGCATTAAACTTCTGTTTTCTCATTGAGGGGACGATAATATACTGCCTCATAGGCATTGTTGCTAGACTTAATTGAGATAACACAAAGCATTTAACAATATCTGATGTATAATAAGTATTCAGTTATTTTAGTAACAACAGACTGTATGTTCTGTATTTCTCCTAGCTTCAGAAATCTTTTCCATAATCTTTAAGTTTTTACCATTATTATCAGGAAGAAGATTGTGAGAAAGCATTCTTCAAAATGGATAATGTACTTATAGATGACAGAAGAATACATGTAGACTTTAGCCAGTCTGTTGCAAAGGTTAAGTGGAAAGGAAAAGGTATGTTGGTTTTATTTTATTTCTGTTCTGTGCATGTGCCTTGTGTAGCCTTGTAAGGGCTACATCCACAGTCCTTACAAGATAATTTTTAAGTGAATTTTTTCATGTTTTTCTGAAATAAAATATCACCTAAGTGAGAATGGTGCTTTGATTTTGCATATGTAATCATAAACATCATTTATTTTTAACCTTAGTTAATCCTGAGATGATAATATGTCTGTTTAATATATATAATTGTTTCATATTGGAAAAAATGGGTATCCTATATGCAGTTAACAGTGCCGAGTACTTTCCCTTATAGTGTTAACAATTTCAACAGTTCTGGGAAATTTTGGTGCTATTTTTAGTTTTTAAATGAAGAATATAAGTTGCAGTAATTGAAGGATTGCCCACTTGGGTTAAGATTTGAATTCAAAACCTCTCTCTTTAATCTGGTACTCTTTCTTTTATAACATAACTGCCTCAGCCAGGTATGGTGGCACATACCTGTAATCCCAGCACTCCAGAGGCTGAGGCAGGAAGTTTGCTGTCAGTTTAAGGCTAGCCTTGGCTACAAAGTGAGTTCAAGTTAGCCTGAACTCTATATAGTAAGACCTTGTCTAAAAAAAAAAAAAAAGCAAAACCAAACAAAAAACCCCTCCCCCATCACAAAATTCCCCCCAAACCTGCCTCATTTATAGTGAGACTCCTAATGGCAGACACATGGCAAATCACTGATAAAACAATATCAATTTATTACTGTTTCCAGTTGTCTTAACTTTTGCAGTAGTCTGTTTCATAATACATGAAACACTGTCTGCCGTTAGAATTGCTAAGTACATTCATCTTGTCTTTGACACCTATCTTGTTTTTCTCGTTCTTGTTCATATCTTCCTTAAATCTCTGATGATCAAAGACTATAGGATTCACATTCCTTTCTTTGTATCTCCAGTTTGCTTTGCTTGTACATGGCCTCTCAGACGCTTCCATAGGAAACCTTCCCACAAGAAGTACTAGGAAGTGGTAGTTGAGGGATAAGAAAGGCAGGTCTGGAACGTGCATGGAAACTGAATCCTCCTTTGGTAAGGAGACTGGGCTGAAGTGCAGAAAGGCTATGTGTGTGCTCTTCCTTTGTGACCCTGCTCCTGGAGGCCAGCCAGGTAGTAACAATAGCCTTATGTTCTTATAAAGATTATTCTTTTTTGGCATTTGAGAGGAGTAAAGATGCCTGTAAGCCTGCGTTTCAAAGTGGAACATTTTTCTTTGGTGTTCTCTTCATCCCTCTCATGTTCTTTGGTGAGCTTCTATATTCATTCTGTTGTCTCCTGCTTGTCTGCTCCTCTATTGAGAAACAGGTCAGAGGTTGTCAGAGCTTCACTTATTCCAAATTTAGATCTTTCAGATCCCAAACTTAGGTCCTAAAACTTCAATTTTCTACTCTACTTTTTTTTTTTTTTTTTTTTTTATATAGGGAATTGAACTCACAACTTCATGCTTACCAGGCAAGCAGCTGAACTGTTGAGCTAAATCCCTGGCCCTCCACTGCACTTAATATTCTCATGAACTTAGTGGCTGTGCTTATACACTATACTATTGACATTTAAGTTATTTGCAAATTTGATGTTGTAAATCTTAACATATATCACTAGGTGGCAGCATATGACTGCCTAGCAAAATGAGTATCTGATTTCTGTTCAAATCATAGTAGAGATTGAATTACTAGGATTCTTTTGTTTTCTGGCCCTTTTTCTCTCTTGTAATATATATTATTTTTAAAAATAGTTCATATCTCTTATAAGATAGTTACTGTTCCTGATCAATTAGGTGATTTTTCTTACTGAATTCTTTTTCTTAATGAATAGGTGGGAAATACACCAAAAGCGATTTCAAGGAGTATGAAAAGGAACAGAACAAACCATCTAATTTGGTTCTGAAAGATAAAGCAAAGCCCAAACAGGAGTATCCTTAACAAGGTTCCGTCGATGTGTATTGACCATGTACTGTGATGTGTAGAGTACTTTGTGCTATGTTTTAAAAAGTCATGAAGCTATTGAAAGCAAAGCTCTGAATCCAGATCATTTGTGAAGAAGTATTGTATTATTATTGCTTTTCAGTGTCATGCATATACTTTGCTCTTTCATTATATTGTATATTATGGAGAAAGTTAGGTTTAAAAGAAATCTTTAGGCTAAATCTTTTACCTTCCTACTCTTAGGGTAAGTACCTTCCTATCTACCGTATGCGTAGGTCTTTAGGTAAGGTTTTTGTTTTCTGTGTATATAATTATGTTTTAAATTCCTCATTATCAGAAATTTCCTTATCCTAACCATTCTCTTATGTTTTACTCCCTATATATAACAAACTCCTGAAATTCTTTGTTATAAGATTAGGTTGCTTCTTTCTGTGTAGTATATTGTCATTTTAGCAAAAATATTTAGCTCCTGATGAGTTGCAAGAACTGACTCTCAGAGGATTACAGAGAAATTTGTTGACCACTTAATTCAGTTTCTTTCAAGTTTTAGGTTGACACAAGTAAAAAGCAATGAAACATACTGTTTATATTATGTCATTTTAATTTCCTCACTGATTTTTTTTCTCATTATAAATCACAATTGCAAAGGTTATGTCTTTTGTGGTTGTTTCAGGTAAATGATGTCTTTGTTTCCTAGATTCTCTTTTCTCATGCTATGTACACATTTCCGAGTACTCATCAAGGAAAGATGAATATCTCACTGACCTTTATATGTTCATGTTTTAAAATTGATTATATGCAATGCATAAAGCATTGTGAGGGATTAAAGCTTCATAAAATCTGGAATATGCTGATGGTTGTCAGCATAAGAAGAAACTTTCACAGGCAGATGGACCAACAAGCTAAGATTTGATCTGAAAAATGCAACACTAGAGGATTTGAGATTGAAAGCTCAGAATCATAAAAAGTAGAATATATACATTTGTAATTTATTTACAAATTTAGATTAACCACTAATAATTGCATCTGGAAGAAGGGAAGTATGTAAAAGGAAGTGAGGTTGTAGAGCATAAATTAGAAGAAGATCTTTTTCTCCATGGAGCAGTTCAGCCTGAAATGTTTTAAATTTGTAGTATTAAAGTGCTTTAGATTCAAGTAGGTAGATTGCTAAGATTTAAGACAAAAAACTAAGCATATTTGTGAACAAATTACTAGTATTGTTTAATAGAACTTTCTTTTTTCTTGAGACAGAGTCTCATTATGCAGTTTGAGCTGGCCTTGAACTCACTTTGTACCCCAGGCTTGTCTTGAACTCACAACCATCCTCCTGCGTTAGCCTCTCGAGCGCTAGGATTACAGGCATGTGTTACTATGTCTGGCTTAGAACTTTCTTCAGTGATGAAAATGTAGTACATTTCCATTGTCCAGGATACAAACTGCATGTGGTAGATGGAGGATGAACTGAGTAACTATAAGGGGATCAAAATCAGGGCCTCATACATGCTAGACAAGCCTTGTACCATTGAGCTACATTCCCATATCTATAAATGACTTTAAATTTTAATTCTTTCTCTTCTTTCTTTTTTATTTTTATTTTTGATGTTGTTTTTGCAGTATGGTAGTTGAATCCAGTCCTTTGAGTATGCTAGGCAAGCACTTTACCACTAAGGTACAGCCCCAGTCCTAAATTTTGTTAATTTTAGTTTTTTTAAAATTCACAGTATTTTGAGCTCACTTTTAAAATGTAGGTGTTCCATTAAAACCTTTTTATGGACACTAAAGTTTGAATTTTATGTAATTTACACATGAAACATTCTTTTGAGTTTTTAAAGCATTTGTTTTTCAAATTTATTTTTTCGTTGGTACATTTTATATACCTAATGATAACGTTCATCATAGGGAATTTTTTACCTATACATGATATATCTTGTGGTTTCTTTTTGTCTTATTCCCCTCCCCTTCCTCAACAACTCTCCCTCTCCTTATTTATAAAACTTTTGTTTCTATATTTTGTCTCTTCTTTCCCACTCCCATTGCCCTTGTTCCCCTTCTCATTTGAACATTTTCTATCCATTTCTCAATATCTGTTAATACATTTTATTACACCAGAGAAACAATATCGTATTTAAATATGTTCCGTTTATTTCACTTACAAGTTGCATCCACTTAGCTAGACTTGCCTCAAGCTTATCCTTCTTTGTGGCAAGTAGTATGCCATTGTATAAGAAAAAATTTTTATCTGCTGATTGTTTATAGGCATTTGGGATGTTTCTGAGATTTAGCTATTTCATTCTGTGCCACTATAAACATGGGTGTTCGTGTATTGCTGTGGAATGATGCTTTCAATTCTTTCAGAAAGGTACCAAGTAGAGAGACAGCTGGGTTAAATGGAGCCTGTAGTCCTAGTTTTTTATTTTTTATTTTTTTTTAACGGTACCAGGGATTGAACTCACGACCGCCTGCTTGTAAGGCAGGTACTTATGCCACTGAGCTAAATCCCCAGCCCCCACCCATAGTCCTAGTTTTTTGAGGAATATTCACTCTAATTTCCACAGTGGTTGCACCAGTCTACAATTCCACCAACAGTGGAGAAGGGCTTCTTTTTCCCCACAGCTCTGTCAGCATTTGTTATTGGTTGATTTCTTAATGACAACCATTCTTTCTGGGGTAAGATGAAATCTCAGTATTGTTTTAATTTGCATATCTTGGATGACCAGTGATGTCGAACATTTTTTCATACATTTATTTGCAGTTTCTACTTCTTCATCTAAGAAGTGTGTATTCATTTCAGATGCTATTATTGGGTTGGGTCTTTAAATTGTGGGACGGCGGGACTGAATTTTTTTTGAGTTCTTTATGTATTCTAGATATTAATTCTTTGAGGAAAAGCTGGTAAGCATTTTTTCCCACACTGAGTTGTCTCTTCATTCTTTTGATGGTTTCGTTTGCTATGCAAAAGCTTTTTAATAAGATGAAATCCCAGTTGATTCTTTGTGATAGTTCCTGTGTGATCAGGGTCTTTTTTTTTTTTTTAATGGAATGCTTCATGAATTTACATGTCATCCTTGTGCAGGGGCCATGCTAATCTTTTCTGTATTGTTCCAATTTTAGTATGTGTGCTGCTGTAGTGAGCACACTATTGGAGTTTTGTTCTTAAGTCTTTACCTACACCAGTGTCTTCAAGAGTTCTTCACCTTCTATCTTCCAAGATTTAATATTTCTAGTTTAATATTTAGATCTTTGATCCATTTCAATTTTAGTTTAGTGCATGGTGGAACACATGAGTCCAGTTTTAATGTTCAGCATGTGAAAAGCGAGTTTTTCCAGCACCAATTTTTGAAGAGGCTATCTTTCTTCCAGTGAATGTGTTTGGCCCCTTGGTCAAAGATAAGGTGGCTGAGCATATTTGGAGTTATTTTTGGATCTTTTAATCTGTTCCATTGATCCTAGGTCTGTTTTTGCATTTTTTTGATAGCACTGTGATATTTTTAATCATAGTAGGTTTGTATGTAATTTCAAGTCAAGGATTGAGGTGCCTCCGCCTTGACTTTCTTGCTCAGGATTGATGGCCTCACACATCAATCCTCCTGCCTCAGCCTTCCTAATGCTGGGATTATAGGTATATGCCACCATGCCCGGCTCAGAATTGCTTTTGTTATTCTAGGTCTCTTCCAGTTCCAAGTGAATTTTAGGATTATTTTCTCTAATTCTGTTATATGTACTATTGATATTTAATCAGAATTGCATTAAATCTGTATAACAGTTTTGGAAGTATGGCCGTTTTCACTATATTGGTTCTTCCTACTCAACAACAAGGTGTATCTTTCCATTTTCAGATATCCTTTCTCATCTCCTTTTTCAGAGTACTGTAATTTTCAATGTCTTTATTTCGTTTGTTAGGTTGAATCCTAGGTATCTCATTTTTTAGATGCTATTGTGACAGGTGTTATTTCCCTGATTTCTCTCTCAATGAGTTTGTTATTTGTATACTATTATTACAGGAATGCTATTGAGTGTTGACTTTGTATCTAGCTGTGCTACTGAATTTGATTATTAAATCTATAAGTCTTTTGGTGGACTTTTTGGAGTCTTCTATGTAAAGTATCATATCATCCACAATAGTGATATTTTAAATTCTTTTCTATCCTTATGTCTTTTATTTTTTTCTTTTGTGTAATTGCTCTGGCTAGCTGGGCATGGTGGCACTCTTCTATAATCCTGGCCCTCAGAAGGCTGAGACAGGAAGATGGTTACAAATTTGAGACAAGCCTGGACTACACCGTGAGCTCAAGCCCAGCCTGAACTACATAATAGACACTGTCTCAAAAAAGATAAAAAAAAAATTGTTCTGGCTAATTTTCTAGAACTATGTTGAATGAGAACAATGACAGTAGACCTCCTTGTTTTGCTCCTGATTTTAGAGTGAAAGCTTTCAGTTTTTGTCCATTTAGTATGATGTTGGCTATTGGTTTGTCATCGATGATTTTTATCAGATTGAGGTAAGAACTATTCAGATTTTCTAGGGAGTTTATCATTAATGGGTGTTGGACTTTGTGAAATGCTTTTTCTATATCATATGGTTTTTGTGCTTTGCTCTGTTAATGTGGCATATTACATTCATGTATATTGAACCATCCCTGGATCCCTGAGATGAACCCTACTTAGTCAAGGAATATATTTTCTTGATTTGCTACATTCTGTTTGCCAGTATCTTATTGAGAATTTCTGCATGTATGTTCATTAGGGAGATTGGCCTATAATTCGTTTTTCTTATTTGAGTCTTTCTTTGGTTTTGGTGTCAGAGTAATGTTTGCTTCCAGGAATGAATTTCAGTTTCATTAAAGAGTTTGAGAAGTAGTGGTGGTAGGTCTTGTCTAAATTTCTTGTAGAATTCAGCAGTGAATCTGTCCAGGCCTAGGCTTTTCTTTGTTGATAGATTTTTTTTAATTATACCTTTGATTTCATTTATTGATATTGGGTTATTTAGGGTTTTTATATCTTCATGATTCAGCTTTTACTTAAGCATGTTCTGTGAACTACTCTGTGGTCTGTTTTTTAGCATGCCCTGTGTGCAGCTGAGAAGAGTGTGTATTCTGATGTTGTGGGGTGGAATCTCTGTAGACATCCACTAAATCCATTTGTTCAGAATTTTGGTTCATTTCTGATTATTTCTTTGTTTATATTTTGTCTTGTTGATCTATTTGTGGCAGTGATGTATTGAGTTCCCCCATTGTAATTGTATTAGTGCTTATTTGATTTTTCATGTCTGTTAATATTTGTTTTACATAGTTTGGTGCACTGGTATTTTATGTATATGATTGTTATCTCTTTCTCTTGAATTGTCCCTTTTACATGTATATAGTGACCTTGTTTGTCTGTCTTAAGCAGTTTTGACTTGAAATTCACTTTGTCTGCGAATAGAATAGCTACCCCTGCTTTCTTCTGGGTTCCTGTTTCACAGAGTATTGTTTTCCATCTTTAGATTTTCAGTCTGTGAATTTTGGTTTGAATTAAATGTGTTTCTTGTATGAAGCATAATGTTGGGTCTTGCTTCCTGATCTACTCTGCAGATGTTTCTTTGATTGGTAAGTTGATGCTTTATTTGATGCTTATAACTGGTATGTATTGTATTCTCTTGATTGGTAAGTTGATGATATTTATATTGATGCTTATAAATCATATGTATTGACTTATCCTTTGTCATTTTATTTTTTTGTTCATTCCCGTTTTCCCTACCCCCTGTGTTTATTTTATTACTTGCCTTGCCTGGTAGACTCATTCTATTGAGGTTCATAGAGTTGTAGTCCTTGAAACTTACCTCTTTCTAGAATGTTCTTCAGAACATTTTGGAGTGCTCACTTGGTATTTGTGAATATCTTCAGGTGTTCTTTGTCATGAAAGTATGTTATTTATCCTTCAATTTTGAAAAATAGTTTTGGGGTCTATCAATTTGAGTTGTTGGTAGTTTTCCTTTAGAACTTGAAATGTTTCACTCCAAGCGCTCCTTGACTTGAGGGTTTGTGTTGAAAAGTCTGCTGTCATTGTGATGGGCTTTTCTTTATAAGTGATTTATTTCTTTTCTCTAACAGCTTTTAGTGTTCTACTTTTATGTTAAATTTCTGGAATTTTGACTAATATATGTCTTGGTATAGATTTTTTTTGATCATGGCTAATTGGCGTTCTGTATGCCTCACTTATCTGTATGTCAAATCTTTTCCCTGCTTAGGAAATTTTCTTTTGTTAATTTGTGAACAGATTTTTGATGTCATTTGTCCTTTCTCCTGTTTTTTCATTTAATCTCTTTAAAAATGTTTTTTATTATTTTGAAGGTAGTAAAATACAACAGAGCAATGCCAATTGAGATGATGCAGTGAAATTGGTACAGAACGTCACAGCAGGTTACCGGGATAACAGTAATAGGTACCATAGTGTATCTCATTATCGGCACAGTAGTTGTTCTTTCAATCAGGTATAGCAAAATCAAACCAAATACAAAACATTATAGAACTTATCAAAACAATATTGAATAGAGCAATACAGTTAATCAGAACAAAGCAAAACAGTGATAACAATATTTGCCTTCAAAGAGATGGTAGAAGAAAATCCCCCATACTTGTTATTATTGCATATGGTCAACCTCCCAAGAGATGCTCAGACCTCTGGCTCCCATATGGTAATGGAGCAGGGGGATGGGATGTTTGATTTGAAGCCCGAGCACCAGTAGGTTCAGGGCTGCTTACCAGGGAGGCAAGTAGGTTGCTTTGTTTCCCAGCACCCTAAGTTCCACCATGGCTCGGATCTTGGAAGATGCTGTTGGTTCTTCCCCTGGAGTGCCTGTCGCTTCCTCGAGCCATGGCTGCTTACCAGAGAGGCAAGTGGGTTGCTTTGTTTCCCAGTGCCCTTGGCACCATTTAATCTTGTATTATTCTTCTTGCATCATCTAGGAACTGTTGAATTTTTTTTTTTTTTTTTGTAGTCTCTTCCTATTTTTAAGCCATCTTTTTTTTTTTTTTTTTTTTTAAGGAAAAAGAGAAAAAAACAGAACAAAGCAAAACAGTGTAAGGGTACAAGTAATATAGAATTATAAAAGAAAAAAAAACAGTAAGATATCACCAATTAATAGATTACACACTATCATCTTTGAAACAGTGATTCAGGTCACAGGACCAAAGCATGATTGCTAACTGTAATATTTTCTTTTATATCTGATATTCTAGCCTCATATTGGCTCATTGTTCTTTATGTACTTTCAGTGGAATTTTTATTCTCCTGGATATCTGTTTGAATCTGTTTCATTTATTCCATTTCTTTCCTATGTTAGGTGTTCTTGATTTCCATTATTTTCCCAGTCTTCTCCAAGCCACTAACCATGTCTTTCATTATGGTCACCATCTCTGTAGCTGAGAAATTATTTCTGACTTGATTTTTTTCTAAAGCCTCATTCTTCTGGTTTGTTATTTTTGCTATTACCACTTCAGAGAATCCCGGTAGGTGGCTTTTCAAGTGTTTTTCCTCACTTCCCCCTGGGTTTGCTGTTTGTGAATTTGAAATCTTGGATTGCATCTTGCTTAAGTTTTTTCTCATTTTATTTTTTCTTTTGTTTCTGTCTTTAAAAATAATATTTTTTAGTTTAATTCCTGGTGTGATGTGTGTAAATTGCTTATGGATAGAACCCTTAGGAAATGGATACTTTTCAGAGATATCCTCTGGGCGTAGCTGGCTGGGTTGTGAATCTGTGGGAACTCAGAACAACTGTGGGCTGGCTCCATCTATTGGGTCCAGGGTCCAGGTGAGGCTGCAGTTGGTAGGAGATTAGGGAGCCAAGTTTATGCTGGCAGGAAGCTAAGTGTCAGGTTAGCAGGAGATATATGGAGGGCTGCAGGCTGAACAAATCCCAGCCTCACAGCCAGAAACCAGCCTGAATTTAAGTGGAACTAAAGGTGCAGGTTAGCTGGGATTATCCACTATCCTGCCATATATCTACAGCTGGCTTGTTGAGATTAATCAGTTTGGATCTGGACTCTTTTCTGCCCACTTTTTCTGCCAGTGACAGTGGAGACACGCCTTGAAGTGAACATTTTTTCTCATTTCCTTTTTTCCCCCCTTGGTTTTGGTTTTTTCCTTGTTTGTTCTTGTTTTTATATGAATGTGAATATGGTTTCTAATTTTTTTGTTGTTGTTCTGTTTTGTTACTATTTTTATTACTTCCTTCTCTTTCCCTACATATTCTTCACTAGTTTCCCAATTTGCGTAATCTTCCTTTGTCCTCAAGCCTTGCTTCTAATCTCTTCCTCTTCTTCTATTTCTCTATTTTTACCCCTAATCCCTTTTAAATTTTATCCCCAGAGGGTAAGATTGTCATACTGAAGGCTTATTTACTGCATACAATTCTTTATTCATTTTAAATCTTGTTATATAATCACAAATCTAGTTGATACAGTTAAAAGTTGGCAAATTAATAGTTATCACAATTCTTCATTTTCTAGGCTGTGCTTAATGCTGTTGTTTCTGTTGATGGTACTGCTTTAGGTAAGGTGATATGATTGTTTTAAGTTCTTTTTTCTGGTATGCCAAGATTGATATTGCCTAAAGGTCATAAATAATACAATAGGCCAGTGCCAAAGAACCAGAGGCTGGGCCAAGAGGGCAGTACCTCTCTACCCTAATAAATTGAAGGGGTAGGATCTTGCAACAGTCTCAAAACTATTAATGTGTTTAAGTATATCTTTATTACTATTTTGTCATTCCCCTTTGTGACATTAAAAATAATTCTAACATGTATGTCTTTGTTTATATAACTTACTATTTTAGTTTTCATAAGTTTATTAGAATTTAAACATGGTAATTATTGGTATTGGTGTTAAATTTCCTCCTGTAGAAATTGATGTAAAAGGAATGTCATATGCAATATCTTATATGGTTTCTTGGGTACTAGTGTTTTTAGTATCTTAATTTTTTATAGGTAAAAATATGCTTTCTTTTCTGTTCTGTTCTGTTCTTTTTTTTAAAACTGGGGATTGAACTCATGACCTCAAGCTTGCCAGGCAAGCATTTATGCTGCTCAGCTAAATCCCTGGCCACATGTGCTTTGTTTTCTAAGTTTAGATTTTTTTCATTACTCACAAATACAGGTCCTTATTTCTTATGCTATTTGAATTTTCATTTATGAATAATTTTTTAATTTTCTATATATTTTTGCCCACTAGTTGGTAACTAAGATGATTGTTCTTTCCATTTGTTTCAACTATGTAATGAAACTATTAGTTTTCTTTTAGAAATGTATTCTATGCTTTTGACATGCTGTTCACTTTAAAAAGTTATACTTAGCCTTGTGACTTCCTTTGTTTATCAGATTCTTATGTTTTGATGTCTTATTTGTCATTTCTCATATTTATCCTTAACTAAATGCTGTAGTGCAAAATATGATCTTATACTAGATGAGCAGGCAGAAGACTCAAAATCAAGTCACTCACACACAAGTAAAAAACACAAGAAAAAAACACGACACTGCTCTGAAGAAAAAGAAGATGAAGACTATATGCCAATCAAAAATGTTAACCAGGTATTTCTAACACCCAGACATAGGTTTTGAGAAGCAGATACAGTGGTATCTTGGCTCACAAACTTAATTTGTTCTCTGATTTTGGAAAAGATAGCCACATTTGGGAAAGATGGCTGTGGTCATGCTGGTCACCTGATGCATAGTTCACAAACAAAAACAAAGTTTTGCCAAATGCTTTTATTTGTGAATCAAATTGTTTGTTGGCAAAGCTCTTTTTTGAACCAAGGTGCCACTGTATGTTGTCCCCCCGTCTTTGTGTGTGTGTGTGTTTTAAGACAGAGTTTTGCTGTGCAGTTCAGGTTAGCCTCAAACTCACAGCAGTCCTGTCTCAGCCTTCCAAGTGCTGGGATTATAGGTATGTGCCACCATGCCTGACTGTTGTCCATTTTTAAATCACCTCTTGGTGGTGTAATTTAGTAGGTAATGGATAGTTCTACATAGGGATTGGTATATAGTTCCTAGCCCTAAAATTTAGATTGGTTGTATGTGGTAATGGGCTTTAATTTCAAGAATATGTATCACAAGTTATAAAAGATTGTTTTCACAGTGACTTAATATATATTTCTATATTGTTAAGCTAGAGCAATTTCCATATTTGTGTCTATTCATTTATTCCTATCTAAACAAGTGTGACTGTACTGGAAAAATGCTTCTCTGTTATCAGGTAGTATTGTAGTCACAGCACTTGCAGTCCTGAGGTTTCACAGTCTATGAAACACTTAATGTTCTTCCATATTGAAAGTAAGACTAAACTAATAATTAACTGGATCATCCCAAAGTTTTCCTGAATGAATTATTTTCTGAAATAATGAAAATGAAAAATTGGTGGAAAAAGTTGATTATGAAGAGAGCATGTCTATCCTATGTACTGTTTGTTGTTTAAAAAAATGCAAATTACATCTCAGCCCCTTGCTTTTGTTTTAGCACATGAAAGACATGTGAACTAGGCCCTAGTGGGTAAGGATTTCAGCAGGCTGAGGTGGTTAGGGTGAGTGACAGATGGATTGGGTATAGTAGGCAAGGTTAAGAACTTGCTGTCTGAACAGTTAGGTTTATATTTCTTTTTTTTTTTTTTGTCTTTTTCATTTTTATCAGTACCGGGGATAGAACTCATGACCGCCTGCTTGCAAGGCAGGTGCTTATGCCACTGAGCTAAATCCCCAGCCCCTAGGTTTATATTTCTACACTGCTAGTTATTGATATGAATCTAACAAGTTATTTAACTTTCTGAGCCACAGTTTTTAAATACTTAATAGGTATGTGTTAAGATTAAATGAAAAAAACTGTGTGTGTAAACATTTTCATCACTGAATATTCTTACTACTATCGCTTGTACTATTATAGAAACATTACTGTTTTAGAGTTAGTGGAAATAGTTTCTCCTGTGGTTATTTCATTAACTGAGCTAACATTTTAATTTGTCTCACTTTATTTTTGAAGTTCAAGGATTACTTAAACATTTTTTTGGTTTGTAGTTTTAAAAGCTATATGATTGAAAAATAAAATATACAGCATACATGTTGGTACATACAAAGAACCCACTTATATTTTTGTTTCTTCTCCTTTTTCTCCTTCCCCCATAGTAACTATTTTACATATTTTATGGTTTCTCCATTTAAAATTTTTTTAAGAAATATATATTTGATGAGTATTCTTGCTTCCTTTGTCCTGCATAGTGTACATCCCTACCCTTTGCTGTTGCCTAGCAGAAGTATAGTCTTCTTTCCATAGTCCATTAACTGCTTAAAGAGTCTCATCATTCATGCTCTGTCCCAATAGTAAAAGATGCCCTGTGTGTTTTCTAAATATTCCTCAAGTGAATCAGTAATAATATAAGCAGTAGTAGCTAACATCTTCATTGTCTTTGTAATAAGAGGTGATTTCTTTTAGCCTCATTTCATAACGAAGACAGAAATATAAGAAAGATTGTTACTGGTCCATGGTTTTATATAGCTCGTAAATAATGGAACCAGTTTAGATCAGATTCGTATTCCTAACTATTCTACTGCAGTTTGTACCAAGAATATATTCCTGTCAGTTTTCTTTCCTCAATCTTATTATTCTACCAAGAATACTTTGTCCATAGTAGTGCTTCAGTGTGGTATAACTGAAATGTCCCCTCTGTCTGAATTTTTGTACTTAGTCACTTCCCTCCAAAAGAGTCACACCAGGGTTTTTTTGTGGGGCGCAGGGTCTCACTGTATGATGCAGAGTGGCCTTGAATTCACTTAAGTAACCCAGGGCAGCCTTGCACTTGTGGTGATTCTCCTGCTTCAGACTCCCAAGTACTGGGATTACAGGCATGCATCACCACCCTGGGACTCTAGACTTTTAAGATGGAAGTTATATCACAGTTTTCAGAAGAGCTTAATGCTCCTCCCATCCAAACTTGTGCTGCATTTTTTCCCTCTGAACTTGTGCGTGGAATCTTAAATAAATTTAAGAGACCAGAGATAAACGTTGATGTGTGTGAGATGATCAAAGGTCTACAAAAATGGGAAGATAGCTTACATTTTAAGTCTATCCCATCCTCACTTGTGTGAACCTTTTGATTCTGCTATTAATGATTACTTAAGGCTTTATAGTACAGAACACCCTTTGGGCATCACATGTTTTGGGAAGAATGCTGTTACCTGCTACTTCTTTTTATTTCCTTCCTTATTTTTACTTTTTGGCAATAGTGGGAGTTGGACTCAGATCCTGGCTAAGCAAGCATTCTACCATTGAGTCCCCTGGCCCTTTTTTGTGTTTGAGACAGAACCTTATTAAGCCTTGTCAAACTTGTGACTCACTTACCTCAGCCTGAGTAGTTGATGTAATAGGAATGTCAATCATGCTAAACTTCCTGCTAGCAAGTTCTTTATCAAAATAATTTTAAGGGAGTTGGTAACTATAAAACTGCTAATTTCTGAATAATAATCTCTTAACTCTTATTTTTTTCTTTCAGTATATTAAAATGTTTTTTGCTGTTAAAGTTTGATTTAATAATATAACCACATTACTTTTTCTTTCTAATAAAACTCAGCAGCACAATTTTTTAATTTCAGTCTGAAAGACATAATAATTAAAGGGAATTTGTACCACTAGTTACATTTCAGGTATACCTCAAATTTTCCTATTTGTTGGTACTTTGCTGAGAGAGTATAGTTTCCTAAGAATGTTTTAATTTATTGCTTTAAATTGCTTTTTATTCAACAGCCTTACTATTCAATCTGAAAAATTCTCTAATTTTTTCCATCTCATGTCTTAATTCCAAAGATAGTTTTCGTGTTGTTGAAGTTTAGGTTTTACTGGGGTTACAGGAAATGAGGTTGCCTAGCTGAGAAATACCCACACTGGGTATTAGTTCTCCACTGGTGTTTTTGTAGTGTATGTACCTTTATAACTTGACACTCTATTTTTGTTGTGATTTAAAGAATTTAATATTATTTTAGTGATTTAAATGTAATGGAATATTAGATTTAATCCCAGAGATCCGAGCATGGTTAGCTTTTAGTCTGATTAGACATATTTTGACTACTTTATATCAAGTCATTTTCTGTGTTAATTGCCTTAAATTGGCCTCTGTGCTTTGTTTGCCTTTCTGGCCATCTTATTTCATGTCTAAAATGTATAAAATAATAGAACTTCTTAAAGTCCGTGGTAAAAAGGACTTATTGTTCATCTTGTTTTTTTCACTTTAGATATGAAGATGGTGATCCTACAAGCTTTTAGGTCTTTATATTTAAGGGGACGTAGAACTTTATTTTAATTCAATCGATTTTTTTCTTTTCCTTTTATTCTTTACCATTCTTACCTTTTCAGTTTTGTATGTCAAGTTACCGATTGGTTAAATAATTATCCTTGACCTGTGTAGATTTCATGCATCTCAATCTTTTTGCTTCAGTTGTGAGGGTAATATTATGTTCCTGAAGTGCTTACACTGAACTGGCACATAGAGGCTCTGGTCTGATATGACTTCATCCAGCCGCCTAAACTTTCTCCTACAAACACACAGTCCTGATTTCTCCCTGCTTCCCAGTTCTCATTTATACTATTTCCATCACCCCTTTGCTAGGCAACTCAAACCCAAACCCACTGTCCTTTTTAGGCTCACCTCAAATCCTAACTTTTTCTTGAAGCTATTAAATGTAACTTCAAGAGTGCTCTGTACATATCTCCTAAGTGGCAAAGTCAGTTTAAATCCAGATCTGCCTGATGTCAAAGCTTGTTTAGCTTTGAAAACAACTCCAAGTAGAAATGGTTTGAAAATTTTAGTACCTTTCAAATTTTCTGCTTCCTCAGATTTTCAAAAATTATTTCATAGCTTCTTTTTCTCTTTAATGAGAGAGAATCACACCTAGGGCCTCACATATGGTAGGCAAGTACTCTACCATTGCACTACATCTGGAATCCCAGAGCTTTTTATCTCTTATTTTAAACATTCAACACTTATGTGCCTGTTTGTACATGTTGAGGATGCTATGAAATAATCATTTGTATAAAACCGGGTTCTTAATTATTATGAGTATCACTTTGTTTTCAGCCTTTGACACTCAATGCTTACTACAAAACTATTGTGATAGAGTAGAAGTATTTCGGACTATCGTCCTTAGAGTTACCTTTCCTTTGAGCAAAAGGAGAGAGGATTAGCTCTGGTTACTTTCGATTTCAGGCATTGACTGAGGTACTTGTTTTAATTAAGAGTAGGACACAAACAGAAACAGAATTGTGTTAACTAGCCCTCTTCTGTGGGAAAATGCCTACTACATAATCACTAAAAATAGAATTAAATGCAACCATTGTATTGTCTGGGGGCAATGGATTATTCCAATGTTTCTAAACTAATAGTTTTAAGATATATATTAACAAAAACTATCAGCCTAGTCTAAACATACACAATGTATTAGAAGATTGAGAGAGGAGCAATTATGAAATAAAATTTTAAAAATTAAACTGGGCACTGAGTATAGTTCAGTGGTTGACAGCATGCTTACTAGCATGTGCAAGGCATTGGGTTTAATCCCCAGCATCAGACATTTCTTTAAAGATTATTTGCCCATATCAAATTACACAGAATCCGATTTTTCATTTTAGGACAATTGTCTTTTCTAAAACCTTTGCTTCCTGTGCTATTTAAATGAGATTTTTAAGGACTGGTATTGTTGGGCTGGGGACACAAGTACCTGCCTGGCAAGTGCAAGGTTGTGAGTTCAATCTCTGGTATCAAAAAAAAAAAAAAAAAAAAAATTGGTATAGTGATTTTAGCAGTTTTATGTAAATCAGTATGGGCTCGGGGCTGGGGATTTAGCTCAGCGGCATAAGCGCCTGCTTAGCAAGCAGGCAGTCGTGAGTTCGATCCCTGGTATGAAAAAGACAGAAAAAAAAAAAAAAGCTCAGTATGGGCTCACATTTTTAAGGGAGTGGAGCAATTTTGGTCAGGCTGTTTCAGTTTTATGTGGTATTAATCCCTCAGTTGAACTAAAATAGTAGTGCAAAACAGTGAGATTGATGAGGAAAATGGTTAAATCTTTTAAAATTACCTTGTTTTTTAACATAGGATATTCTTGACATTAATGGTATTATTCAAATTTGAGTTGTTAGAACAGCTTGCTAATGGTGGACTTTTCAAGGTTTTATGTAATTGACAGTGCTCACGAAGTATTTATTTTACAGATTTTGACTTTCAACTCTGTCTGCATTTATTTGACAGGATATCTACAGGGAAATGGGATTTGGTCACTATGAAGAAGAAAGCTCTTGGGAGAAACACAAGAGTGAAAAGAGAGACCGACTTCAAAATCGAAGTCGTAGTAGATCTCGAGAAAGAGACGGGCACTACAGTAATAGTCACAAGTCCAGATACCAAACAGATGCTTATGAGAGAGAAAGGAGTAAAAAGAGAGATCGAAGCAGAAGTCCAAAGAAATCCAAAGACAAATCTAAGTACAGATAAAAGATGAATCAGAAATGAGTGTTAACATATTTACTCCTGCCTCATTTAGAGGATCAGAAGAACAGATGTTTAGATTTTTTTTCAGAGAAGTTAAAACTACGTATTATTTTTTTTTAATATATATACTAGGATTTTGGACCTTTTAGATTAAGACTGATGAAATAGGGCACTTGATCAAGAACTGAACATTTTCTGTGTATACTTTTTTTACACTAATACACATAAATGGTAGTATTCATTTTCAGTGTCTTTCACATTTTGACTCTTGTTTTTTAAATGAAGTATTTCATACTGCAAGAATGTATAAATATGTATATATAAGATTTAAAGAACAATTAATACGAATGTCTCTGTACTTATCAGCCAGCTTAAGAAACAGAACATTTCCTATATTTCAGGAGTCTCAACTGTGCCCTTTTTCTCAAGTAATTATTATCCTGTTTTGTTATTTTCTTGATGGTAGTTTTACAACTTTTGTATGGATCCCTAAATGAACTGTTAATTTTCTATGTTTTTGAATATAATATAAATGGCATAATGTATGTTTACTTCTGTGACTTTCTTTTTTTAATTTAACATTTTTAAGTCATTTTTATTTTTATTGTAGTATTATATGAGTGTACTATAATTTGTTCCTTCTTTTGTATATTTTGGTTTCATATGTTTTTGTATTTGCTGTTACAAACAGTGCTGCTATAAGAACATCCTTTACCTAAGAGTGATACTGCTTGGTCACATGGTTTGAGTATCTTTGTCTTTACAAGGTGTTGCTAAATTATATTTTAAAGTGGTTGTGCCAGTTGATACCCGTATCAGCACTGTCTTTCATTGTTACCCTTGTTTCACATTTTCAATACTCATTAATTTCAGACTTTAAAATTTTTACCAACGTACTAATTGTTAAAGTGATATCTTATTGTGATTTCTAGCAAGAAAACTGTTGTTCTTATTTACATGTAAGCTATTATTTTCTTTTGACTGCTCTTTAGGTTTTTTTTTTTTGTCTTTTCGGTACCAGGGATCGAACTCACTGCACACTTGCAAGGAAGGTGCTTATGCCGCTGAGCTAAATCCCCAGCCCCTCTTTAGGTATTTTTTAATCACAGTTTGAATATGATGTCCTCAGTGTAGTTTTTTCCTGCTACAGCTATTTACTGTGGGTTTATGGTATTCATCAAATTCAGAAATTTGAGGTATTGTTTGCTCATTTATGTTTGTTGCCGTGCTCTTCTCCTTTCTGTCCTGGGGCTCCATTACATGTATGTTAAGTCACAGCACAATTTGCAGTTTGTGAAAATAGACCTAATGTGATTATTAAGTCATAATCACAGTTGTCTTCTCTTTTTTCTTCCCCCTTCCTTCCTTTTTCTCTCTTCCCTCTTTTTTCTCTCCCTCCCTTCCTCCTTTTTTCCTTCTGTTTTTTTATGTTAGGTAGTTTCCATTGATGTGTCCTCATGTTCATTAATCTTTTCTTCTGAAGTACCTAATGTCACTTTCATCCTACCACAGACGTTATATTTTAGAAGTTTCATTTGGGTCTGTTTCTGTCTTTCATGTGTACTCCTTAGTGTACTTTATGGTGTTCTCTGTTTTAGGGGTACATCTACTAGGGTTTTTTTTTTTTTTTTTTTTTTTTTTTTTTTTTTTTGGTACTGGTGATCAAACTCATGACCTTGTGCTTACCAAGTGGGCATATATGCTGCTGAGTTAAATCTCTGGCTCTAGGATATTTCTAATAGCTGCTTTAATGTTCTTGTTCATTCTGTCATCTGTATCATTTATGGCCTGTTTCTGTTGATTGATTCCCACCCAACTCTACTGTAACCCCAGTTTTAGGTCATTATTCTGGAATAATTTAATGGAATCCTCTTCTCTTTATTTCCTTTAACAAGAAATTAGTTCTAGATGTTTGGCTAGAGTTAGGTTAACCTTTACTTCTGTGTTTTATATTCTGTTTTTATTTTATTCTGTTTAAGGAACATACCAGGGCTGGGGCTGTAGGTCAGTGATAGTGTGTTTACCTAGAATGCTTGAGTCCCTGGATTTGCTTCTCAGTGCCACAAACAAATAAACCAGAAATCTACCTTTCTAAGTTAATAAAGGCAGTCTACATTCTAAACATTAGAAAGCTTTGTATTTTTATATTTAAATCTCTGCCTATATTGATTGACATACATAGTTGCTATAATAAAGTGAATAAAAATTCACTTTTTAGGGACTGAGGATATAGCTCAGTGGCACAAGTGTCTCCCTGGAGAACATAAGGTCATGAATTTGATTCCCGGTACCACCCCCCACCCCCACTAACAAAAAAAAATTCACTTTTTAGGCATTGTTTAACTGTGTATAACCAGTTGTCTAAAGCCCGTTATTGAAAAGCAAGTCCATTTTCTATTGACATACATACAGTTCCCCTCGTTGTATATAAGTTTTTGTATATTTGTGGGTTTTATTTCATGTACTTTTTATTCTGTCCCAGGCCAACACCAAAAACATGTTTCTCTGACTTTAGGGGAAATCTTGATCTTTAAGCAAATTCTTCTTTTTTTTTTGTTTTTATCTGTACCAGGGATCGAACTCACGACTGCCTGCTTGCAAGGCAGGTGCTTATGCCGCTGAGCTAAATCCCCAGCCCCATTCTTCCACCTGTTCTGTTGCTAGGAATGACCTGGCAAAGAAGCAATTTTGGAACCAACTTATCTCCCAAATAGTTCTCTTTGGATTTTAATTACATTCATGTTGAAACATCACTGAGGAAGAAAAAATTGCATAGTACTGAGTCTTACTATACATTAAGCTAGCATATTTTTCTATTCTGATTTTTCTAATAAAATGTTTGAATAATTTTGATTGTATTCATTTTTAGTTTCTGTTGTCAGTGGTGTCTTTTAAAAATATAACCGCTGAACTCAGAAATTACATTGTTTTATTTTTATTGTTAAATTCAGCCATTTTGCTGGTGTATGTGTGTGTATGTGTGTGTTTGTTTGTTTAACTGGGGATTGAACTTAAGAACCTCATGCATATTAGGCGAGTACTCTTAACACTGAGCTGCACTCCCAGTCCTTTTTCCTTGTTTATTGTGAGACAAGGTCTACTGCAGAGATGCCTGGGCTGGCCTTCAATTCATGACCTACTACAGTATCTTGGATAGCTGGGATTATAGACATGTGCCATTGTGCCCAGCTGTTTTGCTAGTCATATGTATGTGTATTTGACATTTGTCCATAGTCTTTTTGAGTGTTTTATGTGGTCAATACTATGTAAATAATGGTAGTCTTTATTTTTTCTTTCCTAATTATTTTTTAATTTTTCAAAATTTTATTTTAAAGATAATAAAACCCAACAAAACAAAACAATAAATCAAATTAAAACAAAACAGTGAAAATGTTACAGAACTTCAAAGCAGGATAATAGGAAAACAGCAATGGCTACTATAGTATATTTTGTTATATTCACAGTAGTTGTCCATTCCATCAGGTATAACAAAATCAAAACAAAACCAGTCAAAACAGAATATTGAATAAAGTAAAACAAAACAATGAGAAAGTATTGGATTTTAAAAACAAGGAAATCCCCCATACCTGCTATACTGTACATTGTTATCCTTCCTCTAGATAGATGCTCACACCAATGTCCCGGGCCTGCAAAGTCAACCAAACAGTTCAAGCACTCAGCCGTGCCCGTGTGTCAGCTGCCACCAACTTAGCCTGTCCTCTGAACCAGCCAGCTCCCCATGGCAATGGGGTGGGGTGGAGGTTGGGGGTGGGTAGGCTCATGGGAGGAATTATCTGGCTTCTGGGTCCCGCATGGCTTGTGCATCTTACCAGCAATTATTTTTTTTTAAATTAAAAAATATGTATGTACATATTATAGTGTTTGCAAGCTGAAATTTCTAGAAGTGCTGAATATTAATTTCTAGTGATTTATCTGGCTGTAATCTCTAGCATGGTGATAAACCTGACAGGTAATTTTTCTTTTTGTATTGTTTTTGTCTGGTTTTGTCATCTATAGTTTATACAGTAAATTAGGAAATTTATACAGTAAATTAGGGAATACCCCCCTACTCTGGAAAATAAAAAAATAAATTATCTGTTCTTTGAAAGTTGAATAGAGCTTGCCTATAATATTGACTGAGAGTTGTATTTCCTTTTGTGAGAGGAATTATCTAAGTATTGATTAGATTTCAGTGACTATAAAATTATTAGCCTTTTTATTTCTTAGTCATTTGGGTTATTCCATTTTTCTGGGAATTTGTTACTTTAATTGTGGTTTTAAATTAAGAGTTCATGTAGTTCAGTAGATTTTTACTCTTTCACTTTATATTTTTATGTTTTAGTATGCGTTATAACGATTAGTTTTAAAACTTAACTCATGAGCTTAGTGCATTTCAGTGATTATTGAAGTACTTGAGTTTATTTCTGCCCTCATATTTTGTGCTTTTTTGTGATTTCCATTTTTCTTTTGGATTAATTTAAAAAGTATTTAAATTTACGCATTTTTTTATTTTGGAGAATTTTCTTTCATTTTTAATGTCTATACTTGAAGTGTCTCGTTAATATTTTTATCTTTTTATCTCAACTTTTGTGCTAGAATTACTCAGCATTTTAGTCTTAGCTTGTGCTTCTTACCCTTAAATCCTGTGGATATTACTCTTTATATAAATTGTTCAGATTTATTCACTATTCTTGTATCGCAGGCCTCTTGCCTAGAACAATCTTCCTTTGTCCTGAAGCATGCTGTTTGACATACCTTTTTTGAAAATCTGTTGATGGTAAACATGGTAGTTTTTGTTTATCAATAGTGTTTTTAATCACTCATGTTCTTTAAAGTTGATTTTCTGTATGCACATTTCTAATCTGACAGTTATTTTTTTTTCTCAGTTATATATATATATATATATATATATATATATTTTTTTTTTTTTTTTTTTTTTTTTTTTTTTGGTCTTTTTCCTATTGTGGAGAGATCTGTTCTCTTCTAAATGTCATTCTTTTGGATGTAATGTAACTTTCTGTGGCTGCTTTTTTGTTAATTAAAAATTTAAATTTGAACATAATTGTAGATTCACATACAGTTTTAAGAAAAATACAGAGAGATCTCATGTACCCTGTACCAAGTTTCTCTCCAGGTGACATGTTGCAAACTCTTGTATAGTAGATAACCAGGATGTTGGCATTGACAGAGTGAGGATACAAAACTCCCATCACCATAAGGACTCCTCATGTTGCCGTTTTATAACCATAGCTTCCCCCCCAATCCTGGCAACTACTTAGTTGTTTTCTATTCCAGTAAGTATGTCATTTCAAGAATTTTATATAAATTGAATTTTATATGTAGTCCTGGGTTTACCCCACACCCTTCACTCAGCTAAATTCCATGGAGATTCTTACAGATTGTTGCATGTATTAACTTAATTTTTATGGCATCTCCATGTATTTTTATTTTGAGACAATGTCTCACTAAGGTGCCCAGGCTTGGCTCAGATTTGCCCTCCTTTTGTAGTTGTAGCACTGCATGCAGCTGCATATTTAGATTTTTAAGAAACTGCTGAACTCTTTTACCAGAGTAGGTGATCCATTTTACATTTCCACTAGCAAGGTACAAGTGATTCAGTTTCTCCATGTTCTCATCAACATTTGATGTGGTCACCATAGTTTATCTTAGCCATTCTGTTAAGTATGTAGTATCATCTCATTTGGGTTTTAATTTCTATTTCTCTGATTGCTAACCATCTTAAATATTTTAAGAACTCTGCCATCTGCATGTCCTGTTAGGTGAAATTAACATTAATGCCAATGTTAATTAGATATATTTTGTTTCTCAGTTTTGAGAATTTATATGTTCTAGGTACTAGTTCTTTGTCAAGTGCATTGTTTGCACATTTTCTCAGGACGCAGTTTGTATTTTCAGCTGCTTTTATATTTTCCTAACAGTCTTTTGCAGAAAATATTTTAATTATTTCTGTGATCTATTTTTGAAATGTATGTGAATTTTGTTTTTATGTTTATTTATGGATATCCACTTGTATGAGTACCATTTGTTACAAGACTGACTGCTTTTAAATTTTTCTTGGGTATTCTAGAATGTCACTATAATGTGTTTACATACAGATTTTTTCATTTTAGGATATTGTTTTCTGTGTCAGATAGCTTCATGTTTTTCATTATTATGGAGCCATCTATGCCATTTTCTTTTGAAATATTACCTCTCTTATTCTATCCGTTCTTTCTACATGCCAATTGCTTTTATGTTGGGTTTCCTTGTTCTGTTCTTTGTATTTTCCATATGGTGCATTCTGAGTGCTTTTTTTCAGGGCTGTATTCTAGGTCACCTATTCTTTCTTCATGTAAGTCCAATGTGTTGTTTAACATGTGTATTGAATTTTCATTTTCAGTGGTTCAAAAATATGTATATATTCAGTGGTTAATTTTTAGAAAATTTGTTTGATTCTTTTTCAAATTTTCCTACTTATTTTTATGTTCCTTGCTTATTTATTTTTACTGCTATTTTATTTTATTTTTGGTACTTCCAGTGTCTTTCTTAATTAAAAATTAAAATCTTTCGTTTTAAGCTACTGACTTAACCATAGTGGGGTCTGTGTGTGTTCTCCCCTTGTTCTCCCCTTGTTGCTGTGGATCAAGCTTAGGACCTTGTGTATGCTAGACAAGTGCTTGACTGCTGAGACACACCTCTACCCCCTCCTTACATATTTTGATTTTGTTTCCTTAAAATGAAAGTACTTTGGAACTCTGAAAGTACCCACATTGAGGTTGCCTTTTTCCAGATGAATTTATATTTGCTTTTAGGGCCTAGAGGCTGTTCTCCTTTCTTGATTTGGAGATTCTACATGCTTGCATAGTGTACTCTGGACCACTAGGCAAATGGTGAGAGTTGGTGTGAAACATGTCTATTATTAAGGTCCCCCATCTTCTTTTTCACTGTTGAGCTAGGGAAGATCCCTGCAGAACATTTTTTTCCTAGCCTACTTTTTCCATGGTGTTGGGACTTTTTATTTTCTGGCTTGATGTGAAGATCTTAGATTCACTTTCCAACTCACTCAGGCCCAAATGCTCTTTATCAACATCCCTCCTCAGTGTGACCTGAGGCCTTTAGTCCCCAGCTCAACCTACCCCCTTCAATACATTTAAAACCGTAATCTCTTCAATACGTTTAAAATTGTCACTAATTTTTATGGCATGTGGATGGTGTATGAAGATAGTTACAATTCAGAATATTTAGTCTACTGTAGTGCTCACAGAAGATATGTCTTTATAACTGTAGTTAATTCTTGGCCCTCAGTAGAAAAATCTTTAATTATATAGGTTACTGTCACCCTAAATACAGAAATATAAATGGTGTCCATACAGAATATTCTGAAATGCAGCCTGAAAGAATGAATGAGCAGGAAACTTAGTTGCATGTGACGGAGCAATGAGAAGAAATAACCTAGTGACTGAAAGTGGAAACTTTAATAGATCCAGTGGGAAAAATCAAAGTGGGTAAAATTCTCTGAGCCTAGCGCTTTCAGAAAAAACAATCCTTAATTGCAAATTATGAGAAACTGCTTTTAACAACATGTATATAAAACACTTTAATCAGAAAGTGATTTTAATGATAACGACCTCTAGTACTGTTCATCAAGTATCCTTAATTAGATACAGGGCGATCTTGGCTCTTACTACTGCTAATATCTAGGGTAAAGTGACAGTGTTTGGTTTTGCCTTTCTCTAGGTTTTAGGCAAGTCATCCCCCAACCCCCATCACCTCCACCATGGTGTGGTGACTTGAACCCAGGGCCTCACACATGCCAAGTATGTGCTTTACTTCTGAGCTATACTACCAAACTTTTGGT